GTAAAACAGTACCATATCTCAGGCGCCTACTATCAACGATGATCTCCTTGCTTGCAGTAGACTAGATCGTGCAACAAACCTTGGGGAAACCACAAGAAGACCACAGAAGACTTGAACTTCGCCGATGATCTATTTCCACTACTACATAAAGCCGAAGATCCACGGGAGAAAATCGATGCGTTGGCGAAAAAAGCGACGAAGACAGGACTTTAAAAGCACACACAGAAGACATGAGTGAATAGGACAACTGACCAAGGACAAGAAGCATCAGTCACCATCAACGGGAGAAATTCGAAGCAAGTCAATTTTTCCACTTATCTAGGCAGCATCGTTTAAAGTCCAGTTGACAGTACGAATGGGAATATCAAAGGCAGGATCAGAAAAACAAGACAAACCTTCATTAGTCTGGAATTAGAATAGAAAGCTGCTACACATAGCATAAAGGACAAGAACCGAATTTTCTACACTGTTGCCCAATAAGTTCTATATTGTTAATAGACTTGTCATGCTCATCACTAAGAGCATTTCCAAAATGTTGCGAACATTTACCAACGGTCGAATATAACTCAGCAGAAAGGATTAGAAACAAGGAACTATGGCAATGAACCAACCAAGAATTTACTCCTGAAAAAAATATGCGGAAGGAAATAGAGATGGACTGGATTCACACTGAGAAGATCATTGACCGATACGCCTCGCGACGTCGTGGATCGGAAAACAAGTGGGAAAAGACGAGTTGGGCGTTGATCCGAGGATGATATGGTGGAAATGAGAGCTTATGGCCAATCGTCGGGCAAGATATGAAGAGCTGCAGGAAACATGTTGAATTGGTGATGTGGTGTTGGAACCCTATGTCCCACTTAGAACCGAAAGAGTAATAATAAAAATAATACTAATGATAATATAATTAGGTGGAAAGAGAGGTTAATCAGTAGAGCTTTGTTAATCGATTCAGCACCGCATACTTGCAATCGGGATGACGTAACACCTACACCGGAGATGTGAGGAGTGGCAAGAAACAACAAAAGGCATTGTAGAGACAGAAAGAGAAAAAATATTTATGAGACAAAATATGAACACGTGTGACTAAATAGAAATGATTATGAGCAATAATGCATGCTCGAAACGTCATCCGGTTGTTAATGCTGCATCACTGTGTGATCATTAAAATAAACTTATCTAATATGGAAGTACATTCTACCATAGTGTTCAAGTCTTACACTTACATTATTAATAATAATCTCAATCTAATCTGTTAATAAAGTAATGCACTTGGATAGGACATTATTATTTTTTTATTAGATTTAAGGATGACTACCTCTAGAATCGTAATAAAGACGACATAAATTTTATAACTGTATGCACATTTATTCTTTTGAAAAATCTGATAACAGAAATCCCATCTAAAGACATATTTATATATGGATTCGAAACTCAGATGATTTCCACCATATGTACACAATGCTGACCATGGAAAGAGATGTCTGTGTCACGTGGTATTAGGTAGAGAAACACTAAGAGCAGGCCTATCCCTAAAAGTTTGTCGCAAAAAACTCTAGCTAATTTTGACACTCTTCTTCTTTGTCCTACATGGGACCCGTCATCTGAGTGTACCTGCATCCTCCATTCAGTGATGGTGTCCCAACTGGAGCTTGAACCCAGTATCCATCGTATCTGGATTCCTTTGCCAGTCACTGTACACCAAAATATTTCAACTTAATCCTCAGACATCGTCGAAGCAAAGAGAGCCGTCATATCAATACAGGCTGCACACTTCAGGAAGTCAGCTAACGCGAAAATCAAATTGGAATTAAAAATAAATATATTAGATGGTAATAGACAGTTGACAGGAAGCGTTAGACCTAGATTTCGTGCTTCTTGCCACTTGTCAACAAAGCAAATATGCAGACCTGAAGGAACTTATCTTATTGCTGTGATTCAAACCCGCGTCACAGAGTTCTGCAGTCAGAGACGTTACCACTGAGCTATTAGGGCTCGCGATGGAGCTTCTGTAGGACTGTATTTGATACTAGTAACTAGTGTGATGTATGTAGTGCTTTCTTTGGAGCAGCTTCCAGCCGATTGCCTCCAACCATATAATCTCACCAAACCAATGTGTACCATAACAGCGAGCTACCGATAATGGTGGCCACAATGCAAACCTCACTGATAGAATTCAGTCTGCCGCGAAGAGAGGCCTAGACACATCACACTAGTTACTAGTGTCCACTCAAAGTAAAAATAAATATAGAAAAAATAGGCATTTAGACATTTAGAAAACAGAAAGATTGAGCGAAAAAATATTTACTTTTCAATTAGATCCTGGCTCTAATCTAATATATATAGCATTTTTTTACAATACACAACGCTTTACCAATCAAGTGGCGATATGTTTGTTAACAATAATTAGTCATTGTCAAAATGTCAACGAGTCGATAATTAACGAAGAAAATCAATACACACTTAAAAGGTAGAAATGGTTAGAATAAATTTATTTAATTTTACAAGGATAACGTGTAATTAAAGATGAAGTAGTCAAAATAAATAAAAAATAAAATAATTTGGACAATTATAATTTTTATAATTTTAGCGGTTTAGGGGGAGGGGGGCGAAGTAGTTTGGTTTATACATTCATGGCCAAGGTAAGGAAATTGGCTGTACAAATTTCTTCTGAACACACAGGTTTGGCTTCTTCAGTTGGATCCATGTTGCTTCAGCTGTCTGTAGAAGACGAACTCGTAGAGCAAAATTAAGATTAGTAGGAATGCGATAAATAGTTTTAAATGCAGTATTAACTTCAACCTTATGCTCTATATCTACAAGGTGTGCTGAAATAGAGCTACACGGTCCTTCCTTAACCATGTTGGATGATATTCTTCATCCAGCAGAGTATTTTCCAGCAATTATGAAAACTCTCAAAATACCAATTTCGTCAAAGAGGACGAAACAGCTGTCCAGTACTCCCAGGTTTTCCAGTAGTTCTCTAACCGATATCAGCGCATGATGAAATCCCGTAACTTTTGTCGACGAGATTAATCCGAATATGAAAACAGTGAGAGAACCACGCCAACACATAATATAAATTTCTATTGTAAATGCTTTAAAATTCATAAAAGTCAACATTCAAAAGTGAACAACATGCAATAAATTAATTTTTTACAGTCATTTATTACAATCCAACGTACTATAAAATTAATTCAAGTGTTCAGAATATATGCATATATTCATCTAAGCCCCTAAAACATACGAAAAGTGATGTCACCAATTTAAATGTACACATGGCTACACATACATAGGGAGGATTCGCCTATCTTTGCAAGAAAGGGTTTCAGAAGCAAATGGAATCCCCAGAACCCATTAATGATGAGAACAGACGACCTATCTCTTCTATTATGAAACATATTATAGAGGCAGGACATAAAAGTGATGTTTACGTCTTTTAAACCTATTTATTGAACGTGTTTGGGGCGTTTCTCAAAGCTTGTGGAAGCCCTAGCGATTCAGAAGTCTAAACCACCTATGTGCGTTCTAAAACGATTCGTCATCACATTGAACCTTCCTCGGTGAACTTCGTTTTGATACTACGGCAGATGTACTGTTACCCTAATACTTTGGCTCTGTGATCTCTAATGTTATTTTGACCTTCAATATATCATTTTAACTTGAACCATGTCCATTTTCTCACCTCTCAACTCTTTACTACTTTCATACATATATTTCTGTGACAAGCATGTGTGTGATCAGATTGTTCGAAATGTGTTGTGCAGATATATCATTTCATAAAGAGAACTCTCTTTGTTTTTTTAAAGATGAAACATATAAAGTATTTATTTTAGAAACTGATGTTCTCCAAAACCCTTAAATTTACGTTCACTGAAATACAAAAGGGACCCGAATAACTGACAAGTGTTATGATTACTGATTCGGCCTTCTATTGAACAAAAGCTGAAAATGGGAAGCACGACGTGATTAATTGTGATTGATTCATGCACGATATTTTGCACACCAGTATCAGATAATTTCTCTGTATGTCTCAGTGTGGGTGGCAATGCATAAGATAAGACTTCTAGGCTGTATTTAATAAGACAAATGAAAAGGCAGTGACTGGTTGTAACAAATCGAATACAGAAAATTGAAACAATGGAGAAAGCTCTCACGGTATGCTTCCATTGTACGACTTCATCTGGAATTGACAACCTGGGTTTTATCTGCAATGAGATGTGAAGAAGTTTATAACTTATACATTCATGATGCAGAACAGTGAGCACTGCTCTATTTTCAATCTCTGATACATACATGCATTACTCTTGACAGGTAATTTGTAAAGTGTTAATTCCGGTTACCCTCATACATTAGGAATATGATATATAACGAAACGTATCCTCATTACATATATATATAGTATACACACTAAAATTGACTAGGCGATGTCTCCAAAAATAACAAATGGCGATACTGAGTTAGTACTCGAGAGAAAATTTATTCTAATTAGTGACTAATATTATTCTAGTAACAGGTTTTGTTAGTGAGTGGATCCAGGGGTAACCGAATTTCTCAATATCACTAACTAAGGACTTTTTCTGTTCATACCAAGAATGACCAAAAACAAAAATGGTATACTGCTAACTGCCGAACTGTAATATTAGTGTATAGTGAATTCCCGCTTCTGTACTTATACTTGGCAACTATCGAAGGAATTTAGACGGCGTATACACACGTATGCGTTCAGATTCATCATTTTTGAGTCGATCGAATCAATAAATATTATTGCTAGGATCATTTATAGATTAAATGATATTTTATCTCGTCTGGAATATTACTATGAGTACCATTTCGTAAAATGAAAATTGGTCCGTCAATTTTACGAAATAGTCTGTTTTCTTTGTTTACCCAATCTTTCAGATTAGGTGTTATTTACTCACATATTGATCAATAAGTTTCATTTACATCTATACAAAAATAAAAAATGTGATCTTTTAGGTAAAGATATCCTTGCGTGTGCAAACGTCTTGAGCAAATAGGTGTTAGAGTTTGTTTTTTGTTTCATTATTTTATTTAATCAAAAAAAATTATTCATTCTGATTCATCCACTTTGTTGAAGACACCTTACAAGTGTTAAATTCTTCAGTAACTAAGAGATCATCACTCTGATGGACAAATATCTCTACTTCTTTATTCCCTTCTTGCTTACTTCAGTCAGCCTGAACATAACACTGGCAGGTGAAGGTAAGTTCAACAGTTATAAAGTGTATTTCAATGAATATTATTTGACGAAGCTGCTTTTAAATACTGACAAAATATCCACATATTCACTACAAGTGCTTTTTTCCTATGTTTGAAGATTGAAAGTAATCAGACAACAGAGCATTCGTAATGTATGAAGCAAATGCAGATTACCATTGTTAGAGATTTTCTCACTCAAACATCATACAAGATTGAATATAGTCATCAGTATCCAGTATCAGCAAAAAAATAACCCATACTAATAAGTAAAAACTTAAATGCGACTTGGTTTTTGTTCTCAAGCCATTTTTTGAGTGAGCGACAATAGAAACTGAATAATATGACTGGAGATAATCTTATTATTAATGATGACGTAAGTAACTCTTCAGAAAGTCCTACATTTTAAGAACTTATCGAAAGGTGTTTCTGCTAACGGAGTGAAAGGATTTTATGAGGGTTGAACTATAGTAGGACCATTGATGGAGTCAGAATAATGAAGATGATCGTGTCAATAATCCTTTTATCTAGAAGAGATAAGTTATATTGACAACTCAGTTACTACACATGGTCAATGCGGCTGATTAAGAGTTCACTTGATCTTCTTAACTTTAGTGATATTAATGATTAAATTTATTCAACGAAAGCTGGTATGCTGTATTCAAAAGTTAAGATCATTTGCAACACTGAAGCATTATCAAACAAACAACAAATATGAATAAAGCAGAATTATTCCAAGTCTCTGCTGTCTTTCCACACAATTACTCTTTTCCTGTATTGCCTCCCACAATCTGAAGTCAAATTCACAAAATAAATATTGCAGTTTCATCATTTTTTTATGATTATTTATGCTCACTTAAGTTGATTATTTTAATATACTACAACAAGCAATCACGGTGTCTAAAATAAGCACTCGTAGTGTTGACCTAAAGAAATTTGTCACTTTGAGTTCTAATGGAACTTCAAGTTTTTAAAATTTCAGTGCCAGTGGCATTTTTTTAAGCAGTGCAGTTCTTAGTTCCATACCAAATCTTCCCTCACACCGAAGCTTACTGGAATTTAGTAAACTAGGTGAGATTTATGAGTGAAATGACTGGGAATCGAACCCAAACCTCGAGCATGATTGACTAGCATTCTACAAATCCATTATAAAGCGCATATTCAGTATATAATGGATATATGTTAAGGTGAATGTTATGACAGGTTTAAATGATAGTACAAGCTTTTTGCTGTACAAAGACCTACATTCTATCACTTTTATTTATTTGTTAAGGTAACAAACATCTGTGAAATTCACTGATAATGAATAAGTTTTATGAAGAGGATCCGTGAGTCGGTGGTTCAAGGCTGGAATACCCAATAGCCACATAAGTAGTTGGCTCGGGGGAGATCACAGACCAACGCAATTCTAAATCTCGCTAAGCCATTAGTGACCCCGGTTTAGGGGGAAGGTTGAGTGTAAGGCTAGCAAACTCAGTCCGTAGTAACACAAGTGCTACTGAAGCTCTAGTGCTTAAAGCCCTATACTCCACTCAGAACGCAAAGGAATGAGATAATAATATAATGCAGAGAATCCGTGTTGAAGACAATAACCATATAAGAATTAGATAAAGCTCTAGAAACTGAGTTTTTATTCTTATTACATGGAATCCTTAAAGTAGCTTAAAATTAAATGAGGACAAAAATTGTGAAGATAGTGTAAATCATGCCTTCCTAATGCATTAGTAGTTCTTGTGTTGTTAAAACCTACGTCTCACAGGAATGTTAAATTACTTTACATACAAATTACAAATGCAATTTGATTTTTTCAGAAAAATCACCCAGTAGCATTCGTGAGTTTACAATCTGTTATATTTTATAACATATAAATTAACTTATACTCCAGGGGGAGAGGAGTAGTCAGTGAATTCTAATTTAGGCCTAGTGTTCTTATAGCTTTCACAGTTAAAATGGTGTCTGTGAAACGTTTGCGAATTGTAGAATGAATTGCTTTATTAAAATTATATTTTTCTCATGGAATAAACATATTGTGAAGAATAGTTGTGATAATAGGCAGCAATTTCACTCGATTATTACCAAAGAAGAAGAAAACCACTGAAAATATAATTTTAATAAATTTGTCATTATGGCTCTTTTTTTGCTAATCTATGTTTATCAATTGAATTTTGCTGTAGAAGGTATATGCCATGTCTCAGTTAAAGTGAATTCAACGGATTATAAAATGTAACTGCTTGCCGGTTGACAAGAAAAGGACATATCTATTGGAGAGATTGATGGTGTGTAATTATTTTACTATTTGAAAATAGTTATTACAATACGTTTGTAAAGACTGAGCACTGTTATAATTCTGTATCAGTTTGTTAGTTAAATATGTCACAGATAAGAACAGTATTACTCACCGGATGATGCATCAAATATAACGTTTTATTCATAAGCATATCAGATGTATATATATATATATATATATATATATATATATTTCAACGAGTTTCGTGCTGAAAACACTTCCCAAACTGAAAGTGTAAACAGTTTTATGACAGTCAACAAACAGGAATGTTAGCGAATGTATGCAAGCATTGTTTGTCATTCAGAGTTCTTAATAATACCAACCAAGTGGACAGAAATAGGCGTAATGTAATGAATATCAGGAAATAATTCATATGACATGTGTCACAAGGGACGAACTTGTGCATTTGCTTTGCACTTACTAGTGGTCTCTAACAGTGCATATCGTATATTCCTAACAGTTCATCCATTGATGCTGAAATGGCCAAAGTTCATATTAACAAAGGCAGATAAGTTTTTTTGAGCATATATGTAAGTGTTCTGCAGAATAAAAAAGTGTTTTTCAGAATCCAACATCATAGATGATAAAAACAAAATCATATGAATGCTATTGGTTAAACAGAAGCAACTGTGCGAAGGTTACCCAATGATAAAGAAAGTGAGCAACTTTACTCGGCTTTAGTCCGTACTATAATCGGAAACGATGTCATCATGTGTATACAAGAAGGCAACAATTCAAATTGCTAACAGAATAACTTCTGAGATTCTGCAGGTTTCAATCTCTCGATATAAGAATAAAACTTGTGCACTGTGATAGAGTATAATCCCATTATTGGTAAAATTTGTTTTGATAAAGTCTCATAGTGTTATACAGTAAAACGTACTGATGACGTTTCGAGCACAATTTATTGCTCATAATCCTATCAAGGATACAATCTTCCGAATCTTTCTTTATTTATAGCGTTAATTCTTAAGAGTTTCACTAGCTGCTTACCACCTGACTTGGCGAATTCTTCATATATTTTAAAGAGGAGTTCCTGGTAAATTTTTTCTCATATTCATAGATACATAACAACCTACTTTTGTATTAATTTTTTTCTGTGTGAAGTATGATCGCTAAACCAAGTGGAGCAAGAAGGCTTTTGCTTATTGTAGCTGTTGATACCATCAAATCAGCAGGAACCCATAAGCCTTGCTTGAGTCTATCACCAAGATATATTTGAGATCGTAATTAAAGGTATGCAGCCTTCGAGATATAAAACGATGTCACTAAGAACTGAAGTTATTAATCTTAACACTTTTATCAATAAATTTTCCTTAAATATATTATCCGGATATAATTCATTGAGACGCCTATTCGTTAAAACAAACTGCCGTTCAACAGAGGTCCCTACAACAACTAGCCCCCAAGTGACATGTAAGTTTATATTTTTAACATTAAATGCTTATTTTGGCATGAAATACTTTGATCAGCACACTACATTAATCACATCGCACTGACGATTACGTTTATTTACATCAATAGTAATTAATGTTTCTTATAATTGCAATAAATTATTTGTGCATTAGACAAATTAATGGCAGTCACTTAAAGTAATCATTACTTGTTGTTTCAAGATCTAATATTTCTGGTTATGAAGTTACGACAAAAATAAATTTAAGTACAATACAAGTTTTCAAGATAATAAAGTGCCCTTAGTCATAAGTAAATTGAAGTACTCTGTTCAGTTAATAATTTCGTACAAACCAATATAAGTTGGTCCACGTCTTCTTAAAATATTCTGATTTAAATTTAATTATGAATGAACTTATCAACCAGAGGATCATTAGGAAAGTTGGAGCAAAGCACAGATGCTTTTTTTCTGCATTTGGTACTCCACCAGTATACGATCAAACTCAGGGATGTTAGGTTGTGGGACCAGCATATAACACTTAAGAAAATGTTCAAATTCAACTGGCTTAACTGATGTTTTTGGACCTTGTGTAGAGAGACGTAAATCAAATCGGTTGTGAAGGCAGCTTCGCTGTATTCTAAAATGGCAGCAATCAAACAGTGTGGGGAAATGGATTCTTATCCTAGATTTAGAGCATAAGGATTATAGGCTTCACCTTTCATGACATCGAAGGCACGCACTACTGGAGAGCTATAGAATAAGAGGAAGCGACTATCAAATTTCTCTTAGTCTTCAAAGACTTAGAAATCAACTGTAACTTCCTTAAATTCCTTTTGTTTGTGAACGTTTAATTCAGAATTAATGAATAAGCAAATGAATTGACTGAATCATCAGTTAACAGTACAAAGTAGTACGTACCTCATATTCCCGATATAACATGATAATAAATTATCACGTTACTCTAAACATGATTATCTTCAGTGGTAATAACTTTTTTTATGAAACTTCGAACATCAATGTACTGATTCAAGTATGAATACTTGAAATTTTTTTAAAATTTATATGGTTTGTGTGAAATCGATCTGTGGAAACTTTTCTTAAATAGTAATCAGAACAATACAGAATATTATAAATGCAGTTATTTCTAACTGGTGTCGAAATCTCCTAATATTTAATACTAGAAACAGATCACGGGACTGCACCGACATTCAGTTGATATTCATATTCCTAGGGTTGTAAAAAGCAGACGAAAATGTCAGTCAGCAAATTTTAAGTGACATCGGTTAGCTTATTCACCTCTTCGCATTAATTTGTAATTTTTATAAGCTGTTTAGACATTTTCGAACCATGCACATTTTGATACAAACAATATTTTCATCTCATCGTAAAAGCATATCGTCGTTTTCTTGTCTGTATTGTACTTGATGAATCCTGCACCACTTTTTAAAACTTAGTCTGATCAATGTAACAGAACGAATATGTAATGAACAAAACAGATTATTAATAGAGGCCTACCAAACCTAGAAGTTTGTTAAAGGACTATAGTAAAACCTTCTAAAAAGTAAAGGTTAGAGGCGAACAGACATAGGACCAAGATGAATACATTTTTCTCACCAATAAGCAGTCTTTAATAAGCTGTATCTGCAATATTAAAACAGTTGAAGTCAACTTAATAGTTTGAATCCCAACTATCCGATAGGTTGTCGGGATAGTTAAAACTAACCTACTAGGGTCATGAATACGTTACCACATGACTGTGTTGAATCTAGACACTGGTTGCAGTTGTCTAGACCTTGGTACATACCAAATTGTATTGATTACATTTAACCAATTATTGTAAACATATGCCAATGATGAATCGAACCACTTTTGTTCACTAACGACATATTAAGTGTCAACGAACTGAATAAAAAGTTTTTCGAAGTCATTTCAGTGTGTGCTTGCTTTACAGTTTAGGCATCCACATTTAATTCAGTATAAATGATAATACCATGGTTCAGTGTCCAGTTGACACAAAAATGTGTGAAATTTATATGCAGATCGGTTTTTATGAAGTATCGCAGAAGCTAGAAAAACAGCTAACAAGACGTTGATTACTAATTATTTTTCCTTCAAAATCACAAAAGTGAATAAAAACAGTGAGGTCGCATATTTTGTATCTGATCTAAATATCTCTAAGTGACTGTTGCAATCGTTTGAGGACAAACATAACAGGAATGTACCGAATTGACTCAGCCTAGACAGCTGAATCAGTATAAACCAACCTCATACTTGAAATCTACTTGGGTGAACTGGTCGTTTATTGATATTCAAGTCTTTATTGGATTGATATCTAGCAACCCTAAACATAGTATATATATGAGATATGACAATCTTAGTAACGAATTAATTTCAGGAACCAGATGGACCAAAGCATGCACAAATGAAATCTCAACACAACCCATCATCATGGAAAAGAGTATAGAATGGTAGTCAAATATCTACTCCTACTTCATAGACTTTAAAACGCCATTCGAAAGCGTCAGTCGTGAAGTCATTTAGAAACTGCTTCAACACTACAAAGCGCAGTGTTGCAAACATTCGTATACCTCATTCGACAGCCATATGATTTAGCATACCAAGGGATTCCTAACAGAAGCCTCACCGAAGCGTTCAAGGTGAAGATATGAGTAATAGTAGGCTGCATAATATCACCGATGATATCCCTGATTATGGTGAACTGGACCATACAGCAGACTGTGGACACTGGCGAGATGTGCATACGTTGGACCTACAAAAGACTGAAGATGAGTTGTGGTTCGTGGATGATTGAAGTCTGAGGTCAAACAAACTCGAAGACTTACATGCAAAAACCAAGAAGTCTTAGAAGTGGCAACGAGGACAGAAACTGGCATGAAAAGCAACGAGTTTGGAGTTCGATGTTGAGATGAACAAGATAATACAAGAAGGTAAGATTACCTAGTTAGCGCTCGTAGAGCTAGCTGAAAATGATAACAGAGAACATAGGGGAATGAAAATGTGCCTATGAAGCCAAATGTTCCACACGAAAAGCAAGTCGTTGTTGGCAATATAAACGATAATCCCTAAATATTTCATTATTTTCTAGGATAGGTCAGTGAATCTCTACGTTTGTTTATACTGGATATTAGAATTACGTCTATCTATAAAAATCGACGTTATAAAAATAATGTACTAGTTGGATCAATCTAATAACAAATTTTATTGTGCATAACAGTATTACTATTTAATAACAAGTAGTGGAGTACAAAATGGTACTTTTTCGTCTTTCTATCTATCGACTTTCCTATTAAAAGGAACGTATCCTCACCTTTGTGTGTTTACTACCTAAACCTAAATAAATTAAATACGCGACGTACAGCCACATCAGACAACATGCTTTCCAAAGAAAATACATAAAACAACATGATTCATAAAGGAAGCATAGGATTTGAGAATACAATAGCCAGAGATATGATGGAAAGACGAAATTCACTAGATATTCATTCACTCCTTCATGGCAATACACCTCGCAGTGATAATAGCTGAAGAACGTAAGCCTTTTTATATTCTGACTGGGTGATTGAAATCTGATAAACTAGTCTCAGACCTTCATAGTTCCAATCTCGACTTTTAGAGAATATGTAGGTGGGCACCAGTGAGAGATGGGTAACCAAGACAAAAAAGTTACCTAATACATCGTGATTTCTAATGTTTCTCTAAATTTTATCTGTTCATGAGAGAATTAATCTTAAGATCACTCAAGTGCATACGCATCGAACATGTTGATATTTTTAAGTTATTATCACAATTCTTGAAATTAAGACACCTGCGGCTGACTACTAATCATGATGCCATTTAACGCCATAGATCTGTTTGTTTTCCCCTACCTAAAACTGCTACTAGGATGACATCCAATGCAAATTGAATCAAAGTCGTAAGATATACACCCTTACTGAAAGGAAACACCATGACACATACTTTATTCGCTAACATAAATCCTATTCGGTCAGAAAAATAATATTACGTTGTGATAGGTTTACTGGTCCAAAAGCCAAGACAGTTTTCTTTAATTAATAAAAGTTTTGACATTGTCAAACCTGACAAAAATATCAACAGCTATGCCTGTTACAAAAGTGACACTTATTCCCTAGGAAATGAGTTTTTCCAAATTATTAAGAATTACAAATTACATTATTTATAGGAAACATGTTAAAATAGTGACATTTCAATTAACTATAGATGACATTGGTGAAGTGAAAACATGATTACTTCGCACAGTATAAAATGCTGCCCAATAGTACACATGAAAATAGAAGCTAAAGTCTTAGTGTATGTTTTATAGATCTTTTCATATAACTCTAACAGTAGATTGAATTTTCTGATTTGGTCAAGACTTTAAAAAGTTCTACTTATGACAGAGGTTTTTCTGTTGGCTTGGAGTCTTCTATTGCACTCAACATATACATTTCCGTGTAATGTAGGTATTTATGCATCTAAATAAACATGTACTGGTAAATCAGACAGTATCATCGGTAATAAGTTCGTTTCTTTCACCCTGCACATGATTCACTTATATTCTGAAAGAAACAGAATGACTTTTAGAAATGGTTAACTCAATGAAATATAACTAGTTATCTGTTTCTCTGCTACGCTATAGACTACAATACACAGCTGTTACATTTAAATAAAGCTGAAAAATGTTTTCTGTTGTACTTTTCATCCAACATGTTAAAATTTTACCTGAATATCTTGAAGACTGTTCATTTCATCAATTCACATGTGACTACATTATCAGTGGAATATATGTGGTATGGTTTGAATGATTTCCTCTTACTGTACTGGTGTATACTATCACACTATTTATTGAAATGACTTTCCTATATCTTCTTCTTTCAGCCCCTACAGGTAGTCTGAAGCAATGAATTAATTTTTTTAATTACTAAGCCATCTTTTCCTTATACATTAAAAACTATGGATATAAGTAATAAAAACAACATTAACAGCACACAATAGACTGCGATGTAGTGTTTGAAAGCGCTTCTATTTAGGTTTTTCTTTTCAGCTGAATAATTAGTGTTATCCCATCTTTGAAGTTTATTAACTTGTATTTCGGTTAATACTTAGTTGTGATCTACAGCAGCATAAAGGATGCAGTCAGTAACAGATTTAAGTCCCGGAATTTCTAATTAAATTCTTAACAGATAGTAGTATTAACGACTGATACAAAATTAGTTATTGATACAGTTTCTGAACGTTTTTTCTGCTGTGAATAATAGTTGTTCATACCTTTAGAAGGAAAAAATACATGTTAGAAGATGGGTTTCATCGGCTAACATCCTGAAAGTAGGTTTCCATAGCTCGTTTCTTGAAATCTAACCAATTTTAGGTCCTTCCGAATAAAATCTAATTTGAGAATAATCAAAAGTCGGACAATGGATCTACGTAAAGTTTCTTAAATTTAGGCTGCTAACGGACTATAGTGTAAATTAACTGGATATCGGGATACCTAACAGAAGTCAAGTCAATGGTTTATTTCTAATATTGTGCCCGTTTTTAATTTTTCATACATCCCCAGAATAATTCAAAATCTTACTGAGGGTATTTTCAGTTTCATATACTTTATATTTTCAAAAGTTGTTACTGTTGTTATCATTATTGCTGACGTTATTATGAACAGCTTGTATTTAAATGATTTTAGAGAGTATAATTTGTTCAGCTATCGCATATATATCAGCCAGTTCAGTATTCTTCAGTCAAAGTGATAAAACAGTATCTATAACAATAATAATAAACTTATTTAGCCGCTCAAAACGCTAGCAGCGAATGTGAGTTACTATTTGTTGTCTCAGTGACCCCTGATCAAAAACTTTTTTTTGCCTGTGTCATTCTCAAAATTATCCACGCATCTTCCGGATGAACCGGTTATATCTTTTCAACTGAAGTTAGCACATCTTTTGATTCTGTGCATCCATCAATAAAAGAAGCTGTGAGTGAAATTTAAAGTAAAATAAAACCCAAAGTGCGTTAATTTAAGCAATCAATAAGAAAAAGAAAAAAATGAGCAAAGAATATCCTTTTCGATAATTTCCTCTTCTGGCTCTATAATTATATATATATATATATATTTCTATACATAGAATATTCTAGAATAGATGTCAGTAACAAAATTGGTGTTTTTTTTAAATAACATCGATTTGTTAAGTAAGATCAAAGGAATTACATTTCACTAGTTTCATAAATTATAATAAGCATACATATATAAAAGCAAATAGAATATCAAATGAAATCAAAGAAATTTACAAAATAAACCGAGGATCATTAGAACCTTGATGGCCAAGGTAAGGATAGTGTCTGAAACAGCTTCTTTTGCATACATAAGTTACGTTTCTTAGTGTGAATCCCAACGGCACCAGCTGTATGTAGTAGACGAAACCTTAAGGTGAAGTTAAGATTAGTTGGTATGCAGAAGATGACTTTGAAAGCCTCCTTAACATCAGTCTTGTGTTCTGTATTCACAAAATGGGATAGAAGAGAACTCTGAATGCATTTTGTTTGTCCTTTACTTAACCACACAGTGTGGTGTTCCCAAATACAATGAGAAACATGCCTAACTGTGCGGTCTATGTAACTGGGTCCACACGGGCAGTCAAATTGGTAGATAAACATGGAAGAGGCTAAATTAGGCAGTTTATCTTTAAATACTCCCAAACACAAAAGAGGAGTGGTTTTGCATTTCGAAGGCGCTGTGTTAGTATCTCACTGATTTTATCCCCAATGAACTGTATTTGTAGGAATAAGGCCTTTTTGAAACTATTGGTACCTAGGGCTGCTTTGATTTTAGATTCATATTCTTTTCAATAAACTTTTCTGGATAGCCATTTTCACTTAACAACCGTTTAATATTATTAAGTTGCGATTCAAGAAATTTATCCGAGCAAATTGCTCTTGCTCTGTGAACCAAGCACTTTATCAGATTGCGTTTATATCTCAAAAGCACGAAGCTGAAAAAATAAGTATACTGACCTATCGATGTAGGTTTTCTATATACACTTCTTATCGCGCCATCCTCTTTTCTAGTCATAAGGACGTCTAGAAATGAAATACTAGAGTCTTTCTTTCTCAATAGTAAAAATTTATGGCAGGATGAACATATTCAAATTTGTTCAGGATGTCCTTTGCTTCTTTCTTATTTTTCATAATCAAAAATGTATCATCCATGTACCGACAGTAGAACTCTAGTTCATCAGTGACGTCCTTCAAAGGCTCATTCTCTAGTTTTGCAAGGGAAGTATTGGCTAGAACAGGTCCTAGTGGCGAACCTGTCGCCACACAATCGATTTGTCTTTATAATTATTAAATAAAAAGTGAACATTCATCGTGCATTTCAAGAAAAGCTATTTTATAAAAGATATAGGAATGCCAACATCGATGTTCCATCTTATGGGTTCTTCGCATACAAAGTCCACTGTTTCCAAGTGTGGTGGATTGGTGAATAAGAAAGATACGTCAAATGATATCATGAATTTATTGTCAACATTTAAATCTTTTATCCTTCCAACAAATCCTTTACGCTGTGCTTCACCAATCCTGTATGTAGAGGCTGTAAGAGTTCGACTAACCATTCGACTACGGGATGATATGGCGAATTTAACATTTCTAATACTGGATGAAGCGGTAAGCCTATTTTTGGCGAACCATATAATCTTGGTGTGAACGTTCCAGTGTGTTTACTGACTTTGTGAGACAAAACCTTGTTTTAACTAACTGTTTCTTTACCTTTTTAATCAGATCCAAAGAAGATGAGATTTTTCGGCATTTTAGATTGTCACTAAGAATAATATTCACCTTCTCGAAGTAATCCGGTTTTTCATGATAACCACTCCTGAATATTTAGACGGCCTTGTTATTACTATGTGATCATTTTTCGGAGAAAATCTAGGACTTCTTTCTGTTTTTCGATCTACATGCTATCCGAGTTGCGTTTAATATTTACATAATTATGGCAACAATCAACTGGAGCTGACTTACGTCTTTCAACAGCTTCAGTTGATGAAGGCATAAGGCCTTCGGTTTGAACGCAGAGACATTCAAAATGATTTTGTGCATCCATTTTGTTACATGGCTATTACAAAATTTAGGGCCAAGCAACAAAACCTGTAGATCCACTTCATCAAGGACTACATGCAAAAGATTATACACATAACGACTTGGGCTCTGAGGAAATCTTGCTTCACGTGTCTTTTTCTCCAGGCTGTGTAACAGCTTCGTACGTTTCTTTTCTTTCCTTCTACTCACAATTTTATCCGCATAATCTAACAAAACTTCTTTAAGTGTTGTGGTAGTTCATCGACAACATAGAACCTTTCTGTGACATTCTCCGATAACTCACTAATACATGTTTGTATTGAGTCAATATTGCTATTGACGACTGTTCGAGAATATTCTATGTATATGAACATATATTTAATAGTAGAGCCAGAAGAGGTAGTTAACGAAAAGGATATTGTTTGCTCGATTATTTGTTTTTCTAGATGCCTAAAAGAATACTTCCACTATATTGAAATCAATAAGAATTTGAGAAAATAAAAAGCCTTCTGTGGTATTAAACATACACACTATCTTTAAAAATTAAATCACAGGATAATTCACTCATTAATGTGTATTACAAAGGCAGTACACTTCGTCATAAAAGTGATTCTGTGTTACGTAAACAAACTTCTATGGGTAAGTTCAACAAATAGAATGAAAAATGAATAATCTACAGATCATTTTCCATTGAATCTGACTGGTAGGGTTACACAGAATCAGTGTATGTTTCATCTGAAGGAACCCAAATATGCATTCATCAGTCACGCAACAATCTCACAGATACATCCATATCATGCAAAAGTTTATTGATTTGGGGCTTTATATTCTAATGTTCCGCTAAAATGTTAATGAGTCCGCATTCATTTCTACAAGTGAATCAGTTTTCACAAGATTTCTGAAACGATACTACAAAGAATGCATTTACCTATTAATGTTTGTAAAATGTTTACCAAATAACTTTAGATCTGATTTCATTAAACTCCCTTTTTGAATAAATTCATACAATATATTATTTCACATACAAAGGTAGAGTGTAGTTTTCAGTTAAATTTGTTAACTAACGAGGGAAGTCTCCATGTTTATATGGGCTTAATAGTTAAACATGTGAGGACAATTTCTGAAGTCCGTCATTACACTAGCGTTAATTCGCCTAACGTATATGCGATGTTTGTATGATGAGGACAAATTTTAATGATAATCATCTCTTTTGAAAGGTATATTTGAAAAGATAATCTTAAAACTTGGTATATTTTCATTAATCAAGTGTCGAGAAATTAGATTAAGAGTTAATTAAGCTGTAAACGATATCAACTCAAAATAAGACCAGTTTCAAAGTAAACACTTGTTTTCATAATCGACTTTATTAACAATACATATCACTGTTATTCAGAGGAAATTGAATAAATTCATTCCTTGATTTAAGAAGGTAAAGGTAATCAAAAGGAAATCATGTAGGTTACCACAAAAATATATTCAGGATCAAAATTGTAATGGATGTTTTAATCAGTCAATAAACGTTGAATAGCGGCATATATACAAACCTAAGTGCTGGATGACTCCAGTCATTTGGCTGACCGTCTCCGACAAATTAACAGTGACTGCAAGTACACTGTGACAGTGTGGCCACCCAGCCTTATGACCACAGTGGGAGCTTGATTGATGAAAATAGAGGTTACCAGTAAGGACCAGATATATGAGATGTGTTACACCTTGGCAGTTAATCAATGTTTATTCACTTTTTACTGACGAAAGTAGAAAAGTGTAAATAGCTGATTTTTATTTCATATTATACACATTAACGCACCAACTGAAGACGGAACTGTCTAGTTACAAACAGAATCATGGGTTTGATCTCTTTAAGAGGTAACTTTTACCTTGTTTACACACCTACCTTTTACTAAATTGCTGTCAAATGCATGTTGTAGAATCCTAGTAAAGGCTGTAACCGTTGTTATCTATCAGTTGAAGCGTGACCATAAGTCCAACTGTTACTCTGTCGCAAATCAATTCAAGTTGAAAATCAATGCCATAAATCTTCAAAATTATCTTGAACATGACATAATAAAGAAACAGTGATGATTGCCACTGGTCCGAACTGTTTACTCTTCTATTTTGAAAAAGTAATAAGATATATATACATATATCTGCATAAAGCCAAATTGCCACGGCAAGGTTCAAAAAGCAGTTACACTCAACATATAGTAAGCATACTGCGCAGTCTTAATGAAATGGAATCAGTGTTACTGGTAAAAACTATTAAGTTTCGCTCTGCAGCTTATTAGGCTGCGATAATATGAAAAGTTACTGAAGGTAAATCCACTTATTTAGGAATACCACTGTGGTGACAACAAATAAACAAAATTGACTTCGCACACAATAAAGCTTGAGTAGAATCCAGACATAAATTCCAAAAAAGAAGTTTCAGTAATGCATGTACATATGGACTTCATTATTTACGATTATACAGCTCGTTTAATTCCACAATTCAGTTCGAAGTGGGTGATGATAAATGTTACAACAGTTGCATGGGTACCAGGACTTGATGTTGACTTCATCACTGTAGGAATGGAGTAAAATCTTGTACGTAAACCCCATAAATTCCCATTGACTACCGGGCAAATGTTTCTTCAGGGTAGAACAATTTACTTTATTATTCATCCTTCCAGTGAACATTATAACAATTTTCAAACGTTGTAGCTGCTGTTCAGCACACTGCATTCAGAGACGACAACAGCGCGTTGCTTCTGTTTCTACTCATATTTGTTGTGATTAAATATTTCAGCATTATAAGAAGGAAACAGGTGTTTATCATAATCTGGCTTTTAAAATTAACATTAATTAATTAACGGGCACCAAAATAATGTGATTCAATTTATTTTGTTCATTTACGTATCTCATGCGAATATTACACATAGTATATTATAAACTGGAAGTGAGTAGATTAATTTGCTCACATCCCTCCTGAACATGATTTCAGTTGAAGGGAAGGATAATGACGCATAAGAGTTGGCAAGAATCGAGTTGAAGTTTCTTCATGCTTTCAGTTTTCTTCTGATACATGTCAGCAGTAGGGGATTAATATTCACACTTGCCCTATTAGTTATTGTCCTTCATCTCCTTCAGAAAATTAAATCATTCACCTTAAATCAAACAGTACTCATTCAAAAAGCAAGCATTTTCAGTAGTGACCCACCAATAAGGAATAATAGAAGATAAAGGCAAAAGAGTGATTGTATGATAAACATACGAATTTTTCAAGAATGTCTCAACTTAAATTAAGATTTACTTACTTGTCTGCAATTTTTCGTTCCAGCCACCCCTACAAAAGTAACTTTGATTACTACAAGTAAGTTCTACCAGTCTTCAATAAAAACAGTCTTTATTGGTACAAATTAATTCTTATATGATAAACTATATTATATAACTTGTGTTCATCGTAGTCCAATGATCGCCAAGTTCACTGTTACAACTCTGTTACATATTGTAAGACACCAGAATTAAATATTAATCACTAAAAGAACTGTACATCGATGGTTCAGCAGAACACTTGCTGACCATGCATGTGGTCCACGGTTCGATCCCTGGCCGGAGCACTCCTAAAGCTCACTAAACCGGTAGTAAGGCCGATAAAGAGAGGCTAGTCGTGAGGCTAGCAACTCCACTCCGTAAAAATAAGACCACTGCAACCGAAGCCTCAAAACTCTAGCTTGAAGCACAACGTTTCACTGGGAACGTAAAGGAATAAAATAAATATAGTAATAAATAGCTAGAAGAATTCTACCTGTAGGAAGCTATTCATTTTGACTTGGAAAATAAATGTTTACAATTATCTTCTCACAGTTTGATTAAACCACTCATATCTTTTTAGGCACTACAGATTGCCTGTAATTTGATAAACGAACCAATATTGTGTGCTGGATCAAAATATTGTTTTCAGCTTTTAAGGTGATATTATGACAAGTATAACAGATACACTCCGAAATTAAGATCTCTCAGGTGACGTCGAATACATAAAAAAAGATACATCAAAATAGTTGTACTAATTAAAGTGGAAATTGATTTAACGAAGTAATTGGAAATTTTAGAATTTTTGCAGTCGTCTCTCCACTCCAAAATGTAAATTTTTACCTCGCATCTGGCTTCCTCTGATACTCCAGCTGGCTGAAAAGATTGAAGAGACTAATTTCATCATGCTTTTTAAGTAGTTATAAAACAAATTGGGCATCAGTGAGTTGACTCCTAACCAGATATCGCTAAGGAGACGACAGGCTCTGAAATATGTCAACTGAAGTCTACCAATTACAATGATTGGTTACTTGTGTGTAAGCAGTCTTATGCGTCTGGTCACCAGAATGGGTGCAGAATGAATTTCATTAGTCAAGTTTGTAGTATGACTACAAGTTAGGTGACTTGCCATGACGGTGCACTTTGAATTGCTGCTAAGGGGTTTGAAGATATCCTGAGTACAATACTGGGTGACAAGAGTTTGAGGATTCATGGGGTTAAATATGAGAATTCAACCATACCCTATTTAGTGCTGGGATTATGTGGGGAAATTGATATCAGAAAAGAAATGATAAACCTATTTTATAATCTGTAAATAATCGGTTACTTACTTCTACAACCAACTATACATTATTATTACTTAAATTAATTTCCTCACTAATTTCAGTTTTGCGTTTATCCGTTTTGGATGTATATGTATAAGATGTCTAATTCTTGCAACATAAAAATGTTAAAAATTTCATTCTGCATAGAAAAATACCGTCCGATCCTTCAAGGTTGAGGATAATTCTTGCTGACAAGCGTTCATAACACGAGACCTAGGACTGACTCCAACCACCTTAAAAACATCAGGAATATTATATCATGGTCACTTAGTTGACTGGTGTACAGTAGAAACATAGATTCCGAGCTCAAGTATTAAGAAAGAATTGAGTCATTGGAGAACGGCATTAAGAAGGTTTAATGGAACCACTAAATGGTCAGTACAGACGTCAGCAGATATGACAGAGATGAGCTGGCATATTCATTCTGTGCTGTTTTGTACTTGCATTTAATGACGTGGCTATGTAATTTATTGCAAATGTCTAACTGTGGACTACTCTGAAATGCTTTAGCAAAAAGATAGCCTAACTTGGTTTGAAAGAATGATGCTCCTACCAAGATATGATGTCGGTTGAATAAATCATTAAATATCATTCAAAGGTATTTCGAGTAGTTTCAATCTCTTCGACTATTCCTTGATACTCTGATAGAAATATACAGTATGACAAATTAGCGTATAGATATAAACGTATTTAATAATCTTCAAAGTCTAAGAGTTTTCATTGGATAACACTATTTAGGTAAATCAAAGACAAAATGTCAATTGAACATCCCGGATCATGTACGCTGCTTTAATTTTTTCACTTGCTTACAATCTGATAAATTCAGCGAATTTGAATAAACTGAGCACTGACACATTTTATAACAGAGTAAGGAAAGTAAATTATTCAAAGCTTAATAGTATGTCATCTATTGAATACAGGATATGACACAAACACTGAAATTACATTCAGCATTATTATTGATAAACAATGCAAATTTGATTCTGGTATTCGGTTGGACGACACACACGAAACAACATCGATTCCATTCAATCACGCGTTCTCGAGCTGGAACGAAATGTCTACTCAAGAGCTTATGCAGTCGAAGATTTAGATCAAGAACTACGCCACTCTTTCGAAGAATATGTACAACAATATAAATTTGACTAATCTCAATTTTGAGAGACTACCTCAACTAGGTAGTTAAAACTATATACTCATATTCGTGAGAAAATAAATCTTAAATGCATTCTAAACACGGTAAACGCCCATATTCTCTTTTTTTAGTTTACTATCTTAAACATATATATATTGTAAATAACTCTATAAGCTTAGTTGATATCAATTGTATGTTCAGAAGTGACAAGATGTACCAAAACAGAAGTATGATGGAACTTCTGCTGTCTGCTCATGAAGGATGATGTTTGGAAGTATAACGATCAACATGGTTGATATTAAGGGTAATGAAACTGGCTTGAGAAAAGAGCTTGATTTGGTAGAAACAAAATATAGCAGGAACTAGCAAGTTTATTGTTGTTGCGTGAATTTAATAGACAGTATAACACTTATATATTAAATGTTATTTACGGGCAGTTTTCCAACACTATCAAAAATGTGATATCAATACAAAACTGTAGTTTACGGAGATTGATATTAACATGCCGATTTTCTAAATCAGTGATTTATTTATTATTATTGCTCCATTGGGTTCCTAGTGGAACATAGGGCTTCAACTGCACGTCTCCATTTGCTTCTGTCTTCTGCTGTACTTTTCACCTGCATCCATGTTAGTCCATACTCTTTCAACTCCTCTTCACACGATCTCCTCCATGTCACCCTTGCTCTGACGTCCCGTTCGCCGCTTCCCTTTCGGGTTCCACTCGAGGGCTTGACGCGCGATGTCACCCAGCGGCTTCCTCAGCGAGTGTCCGATCCATCTCCACTTTCTCCTGCATATTTGTTGGGCGATTGGTTCTTGCTTTGTTTGTTCCCATAATTCCTTGTTGGTGATTCTTTCCGGCCATCTGATCTTCAGTATAGAGCGAAGACAGTTGTTAATAAAGGTCTGCAGCCTTTTGGAAATATTCTTTGTGACCCGCCAAGTTTCTGATCCGTATAGAAGAACTGACTTTACGTTTGTATTGAAAATCCGAATTTTGTTGTTGATGCTGAGTGACGAAGATTTCCAGATTGATTTCAGGTTGATGATGAATGTGTTTCTCGCCTTCCCGATTCTCGATTTGACATCCTCGTCCGTTCCTCCTGTAGTTGAGACAATGCTCCCTAGATAAGTGAATGAAGTAACCTCTTTCAAATCCCTCCCGTTGATGGTGATTGACGCTGGATGTTGCTGTTTTGTTGTTGTTGGTTGGTTATTTTCATAACCTCCGTCTTGTCTATGTTCACTTGGAGTCCTGTCTTTGCTGCTCGCCTCTTCGACCAGTTTGTCGGTTTTCGCTTGTAAGTCTTCGATTTTGTGTGACATCAAACATAAATCATCCACGCGCGAAATCCAGGTCTTCTAGGTTCTTCACGTCGGTCGTTTCCCACTGTCTGACGCATAATCCAGTCCACCACAATTAGGAATATCATTGGTGATAATAAGCACCCTTGTCTGACTCCTGTGTTTACTCCAAACGCCTCGCTGAGTTTTCCGTTGTGGATCACTTGACATGTGCCGTTGTCGTACAGCTGTTGAATAAGGTTGATGAATATTTGGGGTACGCCATAGTACTCGAGTAATTTCCAAATTACTTCACGTCAACGCTGTCGAAGGCCTTCTCAAAGTCTATAAAGTTGAGGTAGAGGTTTGATTGCCATTCCATGCTTTGTTCTGTGATGATGATGCGTAGAGTTGCAATTTGGTCAGTACATGATTTGCCTTTCCTGAATCCAGCTTGTTCTGGTCGGAGTTCTGTCTCCAGTGCGTCCTTTAATCTCTCCAGGATGATGCGACTCAGGATTTTACTTGGCGTCGATAGGAGCATGATTCCTCGCCAGTTCTTGCAGAGTCCTAAGTCGCCCTTCTTTGGTAGTTTCACGAGGTAACCTTTCCTCCAGTCAGTAGGCACCTTTCCCTCCTTCCAGACCTTTTGCAATAATGGAGTCAGCATGTCTGCTGTAGTCTCTGGGTCCGCTTTCAGTGCTTCAGGGGGTATTCCATCTGGTCCGGCTGCTTTTCCAGCTTTCAGAAGCTTGATTGCATTCAAGACTTCAGCTCTCGTTGGAGGATTGGTGTCAACTTGCAGTTGTGTGCGCGCTGTTGTTGGTATTTCTGGACGGGTTGCAGGTGATGGTCGGTTCAAGAGTCCTTTGAAGTGATCCGCCCATTGTTTAATCTGTTTTTCTTCCTTGGTAATTGGGTTCCCTTGGCTGTCTTTTATAGGTTTCGCTTGTGTTGGTCTCTTCCCGGATAGAGATTTGGTTATCTGATATAGTGTCCTCAGGTCCCTTTTGCCTGCTGCCTTCTCAGCTTCAGTGGTGAGGTTGTCGTAGAATCGTCTTTTGTCCTTCCTAGCACTCTTCTTCACTTCTTTGTCCAGTGCTTTGTAAGTTGAGCTCAGCGTCTCCTTCTCCTGTCCGTCCTTGCATTGAATCATTTTCTCTTTCACCATTCTCCTCTCTTCTATTAATTTCCAAGTGTCCGTTGAGAGCCATTCCTTGTCTTGTCTCTTCTTTCTTCCTAGAACCGTTGAACACGTTTCGTTGAGAATCGCCTTCAGAGACTTCCAATGTTCTTCCACGCATGATTCTTCAGTGATGTCGCGTAGTGTTTCCTGCTTTGCTCTGACAGTTGCAGTGAAAGTGTCTTTTGTGGTTGTGTCCTTCAGTTTGAGTGTTGAACTTGCATTGTGGCCTATCCCCAGCTATCCTCGAGGCTTTTAGTTTCACCTTGAAAGTCCCTTGTACTAGATAGTGGTCTGAACCCACATCTGCTCCTCTCCTTGACCTTGTGTCCAGTAGGCTCCGTCTCCACTTTCTTGAAATTGAGATGAAGTCTATTTGGTTCTTGGTGTTTCCATCTGGTGAAATCCATGTCGTCTTGTGTATATCCTTGTGTTTGAACACACTACCGCCAATCACCAAATCATTGAAGGCGCAGAAGTCTGAGAAGAGTTCACCATTGTCGTTCATTTCGCCGAGGGCCTCACGACCCATGGTGAGTTCTCTTCCTGTGTTGTCTCCTCCCAGCTTCGCATTCATGTCGCCCATCAGGATTTTGATATCGCCATTTGGGACGTTGTCCATTATTGCTTGTAGTTGTCTGTAGAACGCCTCCTTCTTCTCTTGTTCTGAGACGTTTGTAGGCGCATAGCATTGAATGACTGTAACTTTCCTTCCTTTTGAGTTGAACCTGGCTGTCATTATCCTGGAGGAGATTGGTTCCCACTGCATGAGAGCTTTGGTTGCTGTTGGTGACATCATGATGGCCACTCCCTCGGTGTGCTCGTGGTTGTCCTCTGGGTGGCCGGAATAGATTACTGTCTCTCCAGTAGGTAGTTGGCACCTTCCAGTTCCGTTCCATCTGCTTTCGCAGATTCCCAACACTTCTATTCTGTACCTTCTCATTTCAGCGGCTATCTGGGCAGCCTTTCCAGTTTCGTACATTGTACGAACATTCCAGGTACCCATCCTTACTTTTGCTTTCATCGAAAGAAGGCACATCGGCTGACTGGCTTCCCGAAGGCTTTCAATAGCCTGCGTCATTTCGCTTCTCCGATTCCAGCAAAAAATAAGGCTATTGTTTATGTAGCGATTTGGTTGTTTTACAGGGGTGGAGTTGCTAGCACCACGCCCCAACCGTCCCTCTTTACCCGGGCTTGGGACCGGCTAGAAAACTAGAAAGCTAGTAGCCTAGCAAGCTAGTAATCTGGCGAGGTTTCTAAATCAGTGATATACTTAATAAATATATGAGGTATCGAATGGTTATCTCATTATAGTTCGTTACCATCTGATTTGATATAATGATGCTTGCATATTCTGATTAACACAATTATTATCACCATCCGTTGATTTGAAACGTCATAGTTCGTTGCCAGAGACAGGAGATAAATCTTTGGTTTGACTAACAAGACTGTTAAATTATAATAATGTATGAAAACAGAGACTTTCTTAGAATTCGAGAGTCTTGTTAGTCAAACAGAAGACTTAGTTGCGGTCTATGACGAAGAACTACAACATTTTAAATCGGTTGTTCTCGACTGATGCATAAAATTTAGAAATTCAAAGGAGAAATTATCATCAACTGATTAGCGAATTATGTACAGATAAGTGAAGAGCCATTGACGAAGCAGTAAATCAAATTAGAAATTTATTATGTCGTTTTATTACTGTTATCAATAATTGATCTTATCTTATGATATGAATACAGTAAAGTATAACAAATTCAGGTTATTTATTTACTTTATCTTGTTCAGTCTCGTCAGAGGGAATCGAATGCATGGGAAAATGCCGTGCATTACATGTTAGATGTGTTGATTTAATGAAATATGCGGTCTGCTTTGAATAGTCTACTATCTGGTGAAGCATTAGGACTTCTAAAAATCCTACTGAATTTTGTACGTATCCTTTGTATAAATCAGCCTATGTAACCAACGATTCACCGTCTATTCCCATTATTCATTTCAGCGTAAACATCCTTACCTTGTTTATTTCTAAATATTAACAGAATTCCCTAAGTCACCTCTGCGATTTGACCACCAGACTAAGAAATTTGTCTCTGCGATATTCTTTGACTAAGCTTCAACATTCAAATGCAACTAGCTTAAATTTTCGGTCTTTTATTGTGTTTCTTTCACGATCGTCAGTAAGGTGTTCCTGAAACCTCTAAGGAAACGATGCGATGCTAGAAACTGAAACACCTACCACTAATAATTACGCTACCACTGAGGGGCTCATTACATAAAATTCAGTATTAGGCAAGTTCACTATGTATCATGGCACCTTTGTAAATTATGTTTGCCTATAACTAAATGTAAACTATCGAAAAATCCGAATGGTGGCTTCTATCTTAGCCTCTTCCTATTACTACATTCAAAATTACAAGCTAGGAACGATGACTATTTAATACGGATAAATATTTAAAACTGAAACAAATATCCAACCTTCTTGTTACCACTACAACGTAGGTACAGTAACGGAACAAAAAAGAAGTGAGTTGAACTTTTTACTTTATTTTTTACAAAAATGGACAAACATGACAAATGATGATATTTCTCATAAATATGATATTGTTTTATTATATTAGTGGAACATTTCATATTATCTTGTGAAACCAAGTTGTTTGAGTTGATATAAGAAAATATATTTGCACGGATGCTCGTGTCAGTTGGCAGAGAACTTACATGATCTGAATTTCATGATTTTCAGCACTCATCAATAGGCTTATTAAAAACATGAAAAACACAGAAGTCAGATTTGAATTTCTAAAGTCAGATATTTAAACTCGGTTACAAGGAACGAGATATGAGGATATAAGCCACATTCACCATGCGGTGACTGATTATAATACCCATTCATCCACCTTGAATAAAGTGGAGTGAGATTCAAACTCTGGATTTATCCTCTGAAAGTCAGGTGCTAAAGCCAGTAACCTCCTGAAAGATACATATTTATGTAGAGAAATCCATTACCTAGAAATTGCTCTATCATGAGAGAAATCGCCTGATCATAAATGTAGTATTTCTACTGATTTTAATGACTTCATGCTGAGGATAAGACTTACAGGTATGTCAATGAAACATAAACAGAATTCATGAAAAATTTCATTAGGATCTACAATGATTTAGGAAATCGCTGGAAACAAACGCCGCAAAACAACAAACTTCACACATTTAGTGACGCTTCAGTTATGAGAAGCCATTGTTCCAAAAAGGTAGAAACTACACTCCTCAGATTACGAAACTAGAAACCTACCATATTTCGACGGTTTACAGCTTGTGCTATCTCAATATACACTAGCTTTACCAACCAACGTCAATCGTGAGTATCTTTCCTCAAATTCACATTGGTGGATCTCACCAATCACAAACTTTTCCCAAAACTTCGAGGAACGCACCTTTAAACCATTCACTAGAGGACAGCGAATTCCAATGAATTCCCCTTTATTTGAACAAAGATAGAGCCAACATTGATACAAAATATAAATCCACCTTATTACGTCAGTTTTCATCGGCTGCGTACTTGATATCTCTACACGACAAAGGGGCACACTAATGCTTCCAATTGATAGATTTGGTTGACAATAGAGTGTGGAAGAGTACAGGCATATATCGGGCTATCGACCAAAGGACGGGTGTACTGCTCAGCAATCCGCTTCGTCCTCCTTTATGGCTGTGAGACCTGGTCACTGAGAGTGGAATACATAAAAAGATTAGCTGTCTTTGATCATAGGTGCCTGCGTTCTATCTCCTGTGTGAAGTGGTATAATAAGGTGAGCAATATTGAGGTTAGGCATCGAGTGCTAGGTAAGGAGGGAAAATCAATCGACGAGTCTGTGAAGCTACATCAACTGAGATGATTAGGACATGTTACGTATGCAGAGTCGTCTCCTTCGTCGACAATGGGCAATGTTAGCTAACATAGGGTCAGGCAGGAAAAGAGCTAGCGGTGGTCAAACCAAAACATGGCTTCCTCAGTCAATGAAATTCACAACAGTTAGTTTAAACCAACCAGGTAGGAACGTGTAGATTTTCTGGTTGGGATCCTCGGGACGATGAAAACCATTGGCTGGCGACAATCGGTGATATGGCTCAAAATCATTCTCAATGGCGCAGATGCATCCATTCCTTGTGACTCATAATTTCCAATGAAACTATGTTGTTCTTCCTTATAACTATTCCTTTTGTCTCATATCCCTGTCTACTGTCATTATTTTTCATTTCTTTTCTTGCTTTGTGTGCTACATGGAGTGTGGCGATTCGAATTGCTGCACATCGGTTCTATATTGAAAACTGACAGACAGGCATATATCCAGTATAACTGCTTGATATCTGTAGTGGTCACATTTTATGAACAATAAAATCACCTTGATATATGTATGTTTATTTCTGCAGAATTTCCAATTATTAAATTTTGTAAGTTTCATTTAGAAGATGTTGTTAATTATTCAATCCTTTTACAGACCATATAGCAGTATCGTGATAACTCGATGATGACATTTATTAGATGATTACTAGTTCATCTCTATTGATTACTAGACGTTATGTTTTTATTGCTGCACCGTTACAAGAATTTGCTTTCTGATACCGACACAGGTCACCACTAAACCATGCTATCTTTTAGAATGACTTTAAAATATCAGGAACTCCATTTAACTGACAAGATTTCCTAGTACACTTTGCTTGTGCTGTATGTAGTCTTTGAGTTCACATATACAGCAACCGACATGCAATGTCAGGCTGGTAATGAGGCAAAGGAGAATCTGGAGGTCGGTAAATATATTGTTCGACACTGTTTAACTGATACAACAGTCAAATAGTGATATTCAAATAATAGAGATTATTTGCCTTCATCTCAATCATCTGTCTAACAAATTAAACTAAAATTGACAATGAGACAAATCTTCATGAAGTTATTTATTATCTCATTTTGTAGATTGGTCAATGGTTTTCTTTAAATCCTTTAGTTTAGAGTGCAGCATAAGACTTCATAATTGAAATTTCAACAGCGGTGGTGTTAATTTTAACAGGATTGGATTGTTAGCCCTACGCCCAACCTTCTTTATTATCCGGGTTTATCACTGTCTATGCCAGGTTTAGGAGAGTATCAGCCGGGAGTTGAACCCAGACTTCCCGCGTGGCCTGTGGGGGTACTATCATTAAACCACCGACGCACAAGTGCTACCAAGAGAAAAACAATGTCTCACTGTAGGATCCGAACCTACTCTACCCACTGCTGCAGTCAGAAACATTACAACTGAGCTATTCCGGCTCTGACCATCAGTATTACTACGTATGGCCGAAGATTCCAACATCAAAAAGATTGTTTATTGGAGTATATTTGAAATAAAAAGCTTACTGTTCTTAAAACAATTTCAACTTTCAATCGGATTAACCATATGTGTACTATTTCAGTTTGGAATGATGGTAAGCTTTTAAATGCTTCATGTACTAATGCAATTCGCTCATAAAGATACTTGAATGATTATGCATCCAATCAGCCTAACTCCTTATTCGTCCACATTAGTTTATGTTATTCCCCCACACAGTATACGGTTTATGATGTCAAATACCTAGCAAATGAATAAGGATCTGTGTATTGCGCTGTAACTCTTTGTAACGCACAAACATATGCAATACTGTTTGTCTGGTTTCCCAAAAAATATGTAGAAGAGTATTTTATCTGAAGATCCGATAACTGACGGTCTAATGACACATTCGGTGAGTAACAGATGATGTGCGTCGGTGGCACAGTGGTTAGGACTCTCGCTAACCATGCATATGGTCCGGGGTTCGAGCCCACGCCGGCGCACACCTGATATCTATGGTCAGCCTGCAAAATTTGGGCTAACGATATCCATGCTGAAAATTCCATACTTGTACCAAAATACGGTGTGGAATCAAGCTGTAAATAAAAAAAAACACCTATAGGGTTGCATAAATGACAAACAGTCTATTTTGCACTATACGATTCGAAAACCCTTCATTTATGTAGAGATATGTAATTGATGGATTACTAATCTCATCAACAGAATTTGGTAACGGGAGATAAATTCTATTGAAGACTTTCCTAGACAGAGAAATTCGTTTTATCCATTGGAGCAATAAGTTCAATCCCAACTTCAAATTTTGGCCAACTTAACGAGTAAGTAATTCGTCAATTAGCGACGCCTATTAAAAGTTTCAAAAATATTGATTATTGAACGAAGAATATCCTTTCCGAGAACTTTACCATCAGGTTATGCATCCATAATAGCAAAAAATAATTGGTAGTGACAACAGCATGATGGAATCACTGACATTGAAATTCCAGGAGGTATAAGTAAATAGAATACAATTGAAAACATGCATAAAAATAACGCTAAATTGTACATCAGATTTCAAAAGCAAATAATCATGGATACCACCAAATTCATAGTACTGAATGATCATACTTAATGTCCACATTGAATTTTATTCAGTCTGATAACCAATTCCATATAATTGACAGGTGATATCAAAACCTGCAACGTTAAAATTGTTCCAAAAATCCCTCCCTTATTTGGACGTTTCAGCTAACTTTGTAATTATTATCCGTTTTTCTCCTAGAATATATTTCATTATTTTGATATTTGCAAATCATATGTTTACTTTATCCTTCTAATTTGTCTTTGTCCCTGTTTAATCTCTAATTTTAATGCTTTTCTTTATGGTTGTGTGATGATGTTGATGTGTTGTTTTACAATGTAATTTTGAGTGAATCAAGGTCTTTCTGATCTTCGACTGTCTGTAGAAAGCGTCAGTGTGTTATCCTTGTAAACAGAATTTTGATCCCACCTTTTTGGGAATATTTTACTTGTTTGTAAGTGCTCGTTTTGTACCTAGTCTGGACTGCATAGCTGCCTAGCGGCACCACCGACGTAATCTTGAGCTTTTGATGTTATTATTATTCAATAGAACCACAAATTCCAGCAATGAATAATCGTCTTTTCCCTGTCTTTGGAGCGTTTTGTGACTGTGCATGTCTCAAGGAAGCATTGTCAGCTATACAGCAGAACGTAGAGATTGCTTCCCTGCGTCCAGACTACAACGAGTCGGTTTTGGTCGTAAGAACAACAACAACAGTAATTTCATTGTTTCTCACGATCACTTACTTCTGAAATCTGATGTTCAAATTCAGTGTTAATTTTATACATATTGAACGTAACATTGGGGTTCAAAAATAAAACATTACGAATGCATATGATACTACAAGAAACATAACACAGGTCTAATTGCGCACCCAAGTTCCTACTGCTGAAAAATCTCAAGCTTATATTCGAGAAAACCATAGTATTTGGAGGTTCTCAACGTTGTTAATGGAATATAGAAGAGTTTACCTTGAAGTAGATAATATCCCTTAGAATGTAGCATTCATGTTTTCAGTTAAAATGATTGTGACTTTGCATTGTTTCCTTCTAAAATTATTTCTTCACATTATTAAAATCCTTATTTTCTAAGCTCACATGAATCTCTATCCCTATTTTTTCTTCCAGCTACATCAGTATCTCAAACGAAATGGAGTTCAATGTGGTCAATTGTTATAACTTCAATTTTATACTTAGGATTATCAAAGCAATAATTATAAATGATGACAAGGAATATTTACAGACTGATTTATTAAATATCTTCTGGTCAAGGTGATTTACCTAATACTAGTTCTCAATAAATGCATTGGAATATTTCTGTATTTTTTAAAATATTAATTAGAGATAATGTTTAATTATATTTAGTTAATATGAACAATACCATGCAATGGCAATGAACAAAGTCAGTTCTACATCCTGTTTTATCCTTATTCGAAGACGTGGACTCTAAATACAACTAGCAGTATAAAATGAGGTAAGCAGAGGTACAAATTGCGAAACTTTGTCTTTATTGTATCCAGACAGAATCAACTGCAAAACAGAAAAAAAGTACAAAACTATACACTATTGATTAATTGAGATGAGTAGATGGACATCACTCACATCAACAGGTCTTCTCTTCCTTCTTTACTTCGGCTATCTCCTACGGGAGGATGAACCGGCTTCATGAACATCTCGAATGTTTGTAAGAGAGTTGATGAAGTTTCATGGGAATTGGGTACGAGTGATGTCCCCAGCATCGCTCGGACATCAACAAGTGGTGTTTGCTAGATCAAAACCATTTAAAACCGGACGGCCGTGTTGCTCGCCCGGGGCCGAGCTCATCATCGGTGTGCACAGATTAACCCAGACTAGAAAACCGAATCAGTTCAAACCACCCAATTTCTGGTTATGTACTAGGACGAAGTGGTAACACAAATCGAGTTCGCGATCTGCTCATCAATTAGCAACTTATAATTTACACAGTTCGAGGAGGTGGAATTTCATCTTTGGAAACCGAAATTATTCAGATCACAATATGTGATCTGCATGATACTGTAAATGGCAATCAAGAAAACAAGCATGAATGAGTAAAACTTTAAACTACTGATTGCTTGGGATGAGTAGTTATATATCGCTCACATCAACCAGTGGTGCTTGTTAACTAATTGGCAAATCGAGAATTTGATTTCAAAAAAAGTGGTTTCAACATAGACACTACATTCGTAAAAATGCCTTAGTAACGCATTTACACAAATCCCATCACAAGATTGTTTTGAATAAGATCACTGGTAGCAACTGACATTGATATTCTATAAGTGTATGCTCTATGAAAAGGGAGAACTCATATTTCTATACGTCCGCACTTGTAAAGGCGCCTTTATGTAAGACAAAAAGCACTGAGTTATTTGGTCATATATTTACGTAACAAATCCATACAATCTTCAATTAAGTTAATCAAATGAATACTCACTCAAGTAGGCCCAGATTCAATTAAAACTTAGAATTTGTAGTAAGTGACTGACGCAAAAATAAAGCAAATCTGATGCATAACTAATTAGTGAGGGTCACTCAAAATTTGTATCTCTCAGTTTTTTTCATTACGCCTTCGTAGGATATCACGCTTGTAAGGCTAAGGGTAGCCAAAGTACAATGCCGCATACCTTTAACCACGACTAGGAAGAGTTATGTAAGTATCAAAGTATGAATCTTCTATGAACATAATTCCCCTATGAATGCCACAAGAAAAAAACAAGCTGAAAGTCGGACAGAGATGACAGCTCAATATTCAGTTATGCAATCAATAGAATCAAGTGGGTGACATACGATGTTAGACACACAGGTCATCACATTTCAAAACCAGAACTAATAGGATAAAACACCGCTTCAATGGTGGTGATTTAGTACTTGGAAATGATAGGAAATCCCCTTTTCTTGAAAGAATTTACCTATTCAGGAACTATGTGCGTCGGTGGCACAGTGCTTAGGACTCTCGCCGACCATGCACATGGTCCGGGGTTCGAGCCCACGCCGGCGCACAACTGATATCTATGGTCGGCCTGCAAAATTTGGGCTACCGATATCCATGCTGAAAATTCCATACTTGTACCAAAAATACGGTGTGTAATCAAGCTGTAAATCAAAAGAAAATATTACATCATTCTGCAATGCACAATTAAGAGGGTTAAATCTGCCGATAATATTTTAATGTGTGACTGACTGGAATAATTTCCTCTTATTTGAGATATTTCATACTAGAATGTTGGCATAAACTAATTGCATACAATACAGTAATGTACTATAAATCTTAAATGTGCTGACTAACAAATAAATCAACACATAACCTTAGGCCAAACTGCATCAGTTCAAGTTACCAAAAGTGAAAAAAGCACACAATGTATAAGAATATATAATCAGGCGTACAAATATCGGTATGAGGAAGAGAATAATTCAATGAAGATCAATGAGCTTTACAAAATCTGTGGGGGGGAAGAGAAAAGGAGTAAGTATATCATGGCCTCTAAAAACAAGTTTGAGCTATTGAATTGAAGTTTTGATTTTCCCGTCGATTGATTGGACCGAAGTGCTCGGTCTCAGGTCTCAGCCAACATGTCAACCTGAGACCGAGCACTTCGGTCCAATCAATCGACGGGAAAATCAAGAATTCAATTCAATAATTGATATGACCCGTTGCACAAGAGGTGGCTCTCGTGGCCCAGGTGGTCTAGTGGATAACGCTCTGGCGTTTGAAACTATGGGCACTGGGTTCGAACCTCGGTGGGAACATCATCACTCACTGAGAAATGCAGGTACATCCAGCTGACGAGTCCCAAATAGGACGAAATGCGCATCCTGGATTCCACTGCTAGCCACCATCCACCAATTGTATACTAAGTTTGAGCTATGCCACCAAAGGCTCAACTGATTTATTTTTAGCTTCTCAAGAACGGCAGCCACAAAATCTGCATCTCACGACCTGACTCGTTAAAAGAATTACAAACTACAATGGACCAGTGTCAAGATCCAATGCAACCACTTCAAGGTTTCTTAAATCTAATCACAACTCTGAGCACCTGAATCCCAAACATTCTGATGATAATGCATTTTGTAACAAAACTACTTAGATCTCCAATATTCTATGTTTTGTAAAGATTTATAAAAAATGTTCAGCTGTTACTTTTATCATAACTAGATGTAATCAGTCACCTAACGAGGAGAAAATTGTCTAAATGAAATTTTACAAGTCAAGATGTATAATGATTACTCAGAATTTAAAATATTACAGCAAAAAGTCTACTGAATTCAAAGTAGACAGTCACGCGATTTCTTTTTTTCAGTAAATTAATACAAAACAAACACAATCGTAAAAAAGGAAGAAATCAAGAGGAAAAATTTCCACACATTACGATAGAAAAGTTAACGGGAGAGCCTGAATATTTTTCACTTTTCAACAACACTGAAAACTATATAGCCTTCAAAATAATACAGTGGAAAGACATGGTTTAAACATAAAGAAGGCGAATATAAGTACAATTTTATAAAGTAAGGGGAAATACCACTATGTATAACCTTCTTATTTTGATCTGGTTTACTGATTTACAATAATATTCTTATTGACTGCTTCATTTATCAGTTGATCGAGCGTCCTGTTTTCCAAAACAAGAAAAATCCAGACGAAAAGGAGAAAACAAAACGCACATACGTTAAAACTTAAGAAAACCATCTAAACAAAAGTACAAATACATAAATACGTGATAAATCCATTATTCAAGCTGTTCAAAATGGAAATGGACTATTTCGGTTGAATTCTATTGACACAATAGTTCTAAACTGTTCATCTATATACCTGAAATGTTTATTTTAATATTCAGCTACTAATTGGCAGGAATTTGATTGATTTCAGGTCTGATCAGAAAATGACTTCAATTAGAGAACCGATGAAAGCCAGGGAGTACCAAAAACCAGTTTCGTCTTTGGTTCAGACTCCTCATCAGTATCTACCGAGGATTCTTAGGTTGCAAGGAGAAGTCGTATACCGTTCAGTCTGTGAGATCGAATCCAATGGCACGTCGATTCTAAGTTTCTGCGATTGCGGGAAATACCGCAACTTCCAGCCAATGCCATCGGTGATTGTATGTCGTCCCATTCAAACTTGAAATTAATCAAATCCCTGCACACCGACACTGCAGAATAAATCTAGTGCTCGTTGGGGACTGACCATTATTATTATTATTATTACTATTATATCCTTTAATTCCTAGAGGAACACAGAGCTTCAGCTGCGCGTCTCCATTGCCTTCGGTGTTCTGCCAACATTTTCACCCCGCCCCAAGTCTGCTCACATGCTTTCATCTCCTCTTCACATGACCTCCTCCAAGTCACCCTTGGACAACCAACTCGCCGCTTCCCTTTTGGGTTCCACTCGAGTAACGGCTTGTCTGGTGATGTCACTTGATGGTTTCCTCAGTGTATGGCCGATCCATCTTCATTTCTTCCTGCCTGTTTGTTTCACAATTGGTCCCTGCTGGGTTGGTTCGCTCCCAGAGATCTTTGTTGCTGATCTTTTCTGGCCATCTGATCTTGAGTATTGAGCGAAGACAACTGTTAATGAAGGTCTGCAGTTTGTTTGAGATGCTCTTTATGACGCGCCAAGTCTCTGATCCGGATCTTATTTTTGATGCTGAGTGCTGTTGACCTCCACACAGACTTATGAGTAAAGAAAGCTTGTCCTGCTTTTCCGATTCTGGCTTTGATATCCTCGTCAGTTCCGCCTGTAGTTGAGACGATACTTCCCGGGTAGGTAGGTAAAGAAAGTTGTTTCTTTCAGGTTCCTCCCATTTATGCTGACTGTTGCCTGTTGTTGGTGTTGGCCAGGGATCTTTATCACCTCTGTTTTATCTATGCTCACCTGAACTCCTTCCTATCTTTGATGCTTCTTCTGCTAGCTTGTTGCTTTTCACTTGCATATCTTCCAGTTTGTGGGAAATCAGACATATATCATCGGCGAAGTCCAGATCCTCCAAGTTTTTTGTGTGAGTCCATTTTATGCGTTTCCTCATTGCCCGTTGTCTGTCTCATTATCCAATCTACTACAATCAGGAAGATCATTGGCGATAGTAGACAGCCTTGCCTCACTCCCGTCCTCACTTCAAAGGCTTCCGTAAGTTTCCCGTTGTGGATTACTTGGCATGCAGCATTATCGTATAACTGTCGGATGAGATGCATAATTGTCGATGGGACCCCGTAGTAGCGAATTAGTTGCCAAATCACCGCTCGATTGACGCTGTCGAAGGCCTTTTCAAAGTCGATGAAGTTGAGATAGAGAGGTGACTGCCATTCCAAACTCCGTTCAATGATGATCCGTTGTGTGGCGATTTGATCAACACATGACGTGTTTCTCCTTTTAGATTAGTGCGCTACAATTGCTTAGTTACATAAAACTCTCAATTCTCTGGTGTTTCTGACCACGAAGTTTTGGAAATTATTGCAGTCCGTTAACTTTCCAACACTAAACCTGTGGATATAATCTTGTTGACTACTAATACCTATAACTAACTGTTTGGCGTTTTGTGACATTTTAACACTAACTTATATCTGTAACTGTATATATTGTTGGATTTATATGTTCAAGTTGGCCCAAGTCGGTTGGTCTATGGTTTTGGTATCATTTTAGTTAACTGTGCTTAACTGTATTGTATATTATTGTATTGTTGTTGTCGCTTGTTGCCCTTTTTGCTGTGCATTATTTTCCTTTTGCTGGTGTTGTTCTGATTGTTTAATTCCTTGTTTTCCGATTTTATGGGGAGCAGCCCACAAGGTCGCTTCTCTCTAAACTTTATCTTAATGTAACAATTCGTTTCTTAGGCATGAGGTTAGCAACCCCACCCTGTAAACAAAGTTGCTACAGAAACTTCAGCACTAGGGACTGACTACAGAATGAAATTTCCTGGATTTCTAGCGTGCAGTCTTGAGCATCAGGGTTATTCACTTTGGATGTGTGGATGAACAATCGTCGATGACGTTGGGTGGGAGCCACACTTCATATAGCGGGTCGCAGAACTTGGTATTGATGGGTCATTGGATCCCGTCCCAATGACCGAACAAGCAGTAAACTCACCTTTCTTCTAGCCTGAAGATAATGATTTCAATCCGTCATGGGATCAATGGGTGCCTACTGCGTAGTGATTTTCAATTGTTCTCTAAATGAAATCATTTCGTGACCAAACTATACTTTGACAGTCTACGTATTCAAATCCGAATGAATGAAGACTAATCTATTCAAAGTAAAGTATTATTGGTTCACCTATCCACGGGTCATCTCAATCTACAATTTTACATAACCTGATCGTTGCATGAAAGTGGTCAGCACGTGTGCAATTAAATATAAACGTACATAATTACAGCAAACTTCCTAGTAGATCATTTGTTAAATATATTTATTCACATGAATGAAATTATCCTAGAATACTAAACATTCTTAGTTCGCCATATAATTGAACCCAATATTAATATAACCACTTCATCTACACCCCTAGAGTCATTCCAACAGGTCCTGCGGCTTTGCCTCCTTTCATACTAGTGACAGCTTTTGTAACCTCAGTTAGGGGCGGAGGAAAAGTGTCTGTATCACATTCAGGGAGGTGCAGGATGTTGGGTAAGTTGAGCGTGGCTGCATGTCAGTTAAATTGCTTTCTAACGTTCCTACTTTACAACGTCACACCCACGTAAAAGGGCATAAGATTAATGAATAAAAGAAACCGATACAACCCAAAGTTATCGAAAGCTTCAAAATACCAAGCGAACGATGAATGCACTATTGTCGATTACTACCCAGAAGTTCTTAATATTCGGTTTCCACAAATTCTAAGCTCAAAACCACAATCAGATACTTCATTTATTGACATGGTTCCTGTTTGGCTACTAATAGTCTTCTTCAACTTACACAGAGATTTTGCATGAACCATTAGTGAAATGAGATGCTACTCAACAACCACTTGTAATTTCATGAAGTTGGATATGAGCCATACCTATATTGTGTGATACTACTTTACTGTCCAAACCTCGATAGATGCAGCGGAGTTCAAATCCATGATCCATCGGTTCGATGTTGAGCTCCTAAACCAAAGAGCCACAGCTCCACATATAAACAGTAATTTGGTCTCAATAATATACCCTAGTCACATCAGTCAAAAGGTTCACGGTTTTACTAAGTAACAGTTTCAGCACGTAAGCGATGTTAGGGAGATAAAGGTAATCATACATAAGTAACTGTTGAAAATCGATCACCTTCAATCAACACCACATATTATACAGAACAGACAGCAGTATGACTAAGTTTTAATAAACAATGATATATGTGGCTATGCCTGAGCATCACATACACTAACAATGGTTAAATAACACTTCTGTGAATCTGTACAACTACTCAAAGTTACTAACAGTAACAGCCATCATCATTACTAATGCACATTGAACCCACTGGGTTTCTAAGATATTTTTCTTAAGTTTTGTGAAGACATACACATAAGTATGGTAGGTCTACATAGAGCGGCAGTTGTTAAAAATCTGTTGTCCAGTCAGTGGCCTGCGACTTGAATGGACTATTCGGGCTCAGTTATCCGGAATGGATTTTTCATATATCAGGTTATGATTCCCTCTCATTGTGTGAGGGGTGATGATACTTACTACCGAGTTTCTCAGACTGAATTAGGTGGAGCAGGACAGGAGTCCAGGACCTACTTGTTGCAGAGTGCTTAAAACAATAAGCAATGCTTGATGCGTAATGAAAGATGAATCACTGGTGTACACTGATCATAATGATTACAGACAGAATGTACTAAACCAGTTAGAGCAAACATGTACAACACCAAAGAAATCAAAAAGGATTACTCACGTGCGTAGCTGAATCGCTCTAAGACGTTCTGCTTCAAATTTTTCAACAATCGCATGTGCCATAACTCGTGGTAATTTCCAAAGTCCAACATGAGTACCAACCAACTGTTGTTGATATAATTCTTCCCAAACATCCTGTGAAAACAGTGCAAGTCATACACAATCATTACGATTAGAACGAAAATATTGTTAGAGATGAACTTCAATATGTAACTGAGGCATACAACTTAACTGAAGTACACAAAAACAAGCTGTGGAGTTAGTGAGTACTAATTTGAGCCAAGTAGATAGGTATAGGCTCCCTGATTGGTGCACTGGGATACGAAGAATCAATGGTTGCACATGGTTCGAAATAGTCCGCAATAGCGCAATTGCAACAACCCTTTTTGATCAAATTTCGGAAATCCTTACTGATCTTCAGCAACTTGTTACTTCATCCATACACTTCCGTGTACTGTTGTTTCATTACATCTGCTTCTAATTCTATGTGTGCTTTTCCAAAGTGCGGCATATTTATCCAAAGTTCTATGCACATATATCGGTTCAGTTTAGTATCAGCTAAAAATTTTATATTACAAGAGAGAGGGGACTAGGAAATAGTCATTTTAAGTTGTGTTAAAAGCTTTGTACTCTATATCAATGCTTCCACTTAAATGATCATGTGATGTGTGCTGTAGGGATGCAGATTGATAGGAAACGACCGAAAATTGAAATAAACATTTCAAATCAATGGCTTCAGAGAAAGAAGTGCTTATTCCTCAAATCTGGATTTAGTTTACGTTGTATTCAGGAAATAATCTCATTGGTGAGTGGTTTTATGAAGTGTGACCACATAATTTCCACTGTCTTAATTTGGGTAATAAGTGTAAAGAGGTCATCTTCCCACAGATAAAAACACAAGAGCCGACTACTTCAATCATCATTCTCTTGTTGATAGACTGCCAAATTTATCAGAGATATACACCACTTACCACTTGAAAAAAAGATTTACAAAAGCCAAACAAATTTTTTACATACATATACGTGAAAAATGACGGCGTAAAAATTAACTAACTAATGCTTGTGCAGCTAAACACGGCCAACAGGCGTAACCACCATCCATGGATAAAGATTGAAAATCACCATCTTTTGGACCGGAATAAAATGGATTTCGAAAACGACCAATCACATTCTGCTGATTTATGTATGACCTAGAGGTTGAAAAAAATACTAGTTTGAGTTGATCCTATCGACACACTTAACAGTGGACATTTGTAAAAACTTTAGAGAACTATGATGTCGTCACAGATTGAAATTTACTTTACTCATTGAAGCGATTTGAAAAAAAGTGAGCCAATCGACATCGTCTGCAAACATAAATAACAACAGCTAACCTAACAATACCTAGAAGAAAGAAATTATTGAAATGTGATTACAACCAAGTATTGTACAACAAGCGCCACTGGTTCAGAGATAGAATACCCACCCGAGGTTTGATCTCCGACAGACTCACCCCTAAACCTCGCTTAGCCGGTAATAATCCCAGCAAAGAGGGAAGGTTGTGTGTGAAGCTAGCAACCACACTGTGTAAAAAAAACACCAATGCTACTGAAACTTCAAAGCCCAAGCTTGAAGCCCTACGATTCACTAGGAACGCAAAGGAATAAAAAAATGGTACAATACAATGTAGTTTGATGTTGGCTAAACTAAACTGTTTTATTGAATCTCTGACCAGAAAGAGGCTGTTTAGTATAAGAAAAGAAAAACTGAAGCCTTTAGTAAAAACAAGGCGCAGAATTTCAGTAGTATGTACAGAAACTAACTAATTTAAATACGTAAGTGTGACGAACAACTACTTCAGTAACTTGTATATATTGAGTGTCAAACTCTACTTGCTTTCAGTTGTTGTAAACACGCAATATGTCTTAAATAATGCTGATCAAAAACTGATGACGTCAGTCCATCTTGTCGGATTCCGTTACGTTATTATAACAATTAAGTATCACAGTGAACCAACGTACATTAGTCCAACATACTTGTCATTGAATGGAACAATCATACATTTAATTTCACACATGGTCGCTAGTTCATTTCCTTCCAAAAATCCGAAAAGCACAACAGAGTATCCTGAAGACTGGTAGGCTAGTTTCCATTCTAATACTAATCAATTCTGTACATACGGACTGTGACTGCGAAAACCAGAATCAGTGAAGTCAATAACCCAGGAACAAATTATAACATGAAGACTGAAGAAAGAAAAACCAAACTCACCACAGAGAAACAGTTTTCGATGAGATATCAAGTTGCTCTCTTTCTTGTGGTGAATTTCCTAAAAATGTACCTTGAAAAAGAGTATAAGAAAACTAATCTTAATGTACCATTTTGAATAAATATGAAATTATATATATATATATATATATATATATATATATATATATATATATATATATATATATATATATTATAGTAAACGTTACGAATCAAAGCGGCCGCCTACACCCAATTCTTCACCTATTTTCTGTATAGGAACAGTAACTACGGATATAAAACTCCTAAACTGATGATTGATTCTGTGATACTCTGACGTATTAGACTAACAATCTCCTTGAGTTAGGTTATTTTCAATCATCTCATGCTACACATAAAGTTTAGAATTCGAGCTTCACAAACCCACTCTTCAAATGACTAATCCCATATGATTAATCTGCAGAGATCTAATTTTAAAAATCTCTTCTAGTCCCTAGTCATCATCATTGAGAGAGTTTAGTTAACCTTAATTTAATTAAAGACATAAAACGTTTCTCGATTCTTTTAGCAAAAGTGTATTATATAGCATAGTACAGTTCCCAATAACGGTGGTGTTTTACGGTCCAACGTACGCCAATGAGAAGTAAGTTGAAAATTGAAATTCCAAATACTTACACAAAAAACATGAAAATACGTTGAAATCAACACCCAAAAATAACTTACCGAATTCCGAAAAATAGGCATTTTTCGCCAATTCACAAAGTAATTCATCAGTAAATTCAAAAGCATTTGGGTACTGACGAAGTAACTGTAAATGAGAAATAGTTCACTCTGCAGAATTAACAATTAGAACGACTGAATTAAATAAACTCACAAAAATCGGAAAGATATATGTCTGGAGAAGCACTGAACAACTTGAAATTAAATGCAATTGGAGATGAGTCACACCTGTTGTGTGACTGACTATGTTGAAACCAGTCAGTTAGTTGTGTGATGACTAGTGACCCTCCAAGATTGCCCAAACCTCGGGAGGCGACGCGAGCTTTGAAACCGTGACCCAATGACTTAAAATCAAGCGCCTAAACCAATAAGCCACAATTTCACTAGATATATATTTACTTCAACTGATATGCTTATTTGAAGAGATTTTACACTAGAAAACAAATTTACAATCTCCCTACAAAGCTGTTTTTTAAAGATATTTTTCATGAGTTTGTTTGTAGGGATTTGATCTATTTCAAATTTGATCAGGGATTAACATCGGTTACAGAACCATTGAAAACTAGGGAACACTGGACAGCTGTTTCGTCCTGGTCTGGGACTCACCGTCATTACGCACTACCGGGTTCCGAACACAGGATTCCCTGATTTTTAATGGTTCTGTAACTGATATCAATTCCTAACCACACTTGAAACAAATCCCCACAAACAAACCCTTGAGAATTAATCTACTGCCCACCAATGATTGACTGCAGGGCGAAGTTGTCTGGAGTTCTAGTAAAAAGTCCTGATCAGTGGAGTCCATACGGTCGGAAGTGAGGACAAATACTCCGATGACATAGGTTAGAGGTCGCACTAAAATCCCGAATCGATAGAAGTTAGAATTCATAGGCTGGCCATTGAGTCGGTTTCCAGTGGCTCAATGATCCACAAGCTTACCTTATAACCAGAAGGCGGTGGGTTCGAATCCTGGCGGTGGGTGGGTACTGCCGATGAGTCCCAAACTAGGCTGACGAAACAGCTGTTCAATGGTTCTCTAACTGAAATGAATCCATGATCAAACCTGAAAGATATTTTTTCCTACTGTCAAAATGATACGTATAGTTTAGAAACAGCAGATTGTTGGCTAGAATACAACACCCTGTTTTTATCCATCTTAAATTAACTACTTTACTTTTGTGAATTATTTCACGCTATTATCTGGTAGTCAACTTGTTTGCTAAGTACGAAACAACAAACCACAAAGAAAACTTCAATGTCTTTCTCAGTCCCTTGATTCGTCATCACCATATTTTTATTTTCATTTACAACTACATTGTTTGCTTTGATCAGCTTCACAGTGAAGACTACCATTTGTTGAGTGTCGTCATCTGGAAACACCGGCTTCGGTGGCTTGGACATGTGCTGCAAATGTCATCCCAGAGGCTTCAGTACATGTCTCTGTTCGCTAGCCCTGGGACGGGATGGAAAAAGCGGAGGTGGTCAGTCCATGACGTGGCGTCGTGGGATGAAGGACATTTGTGCTAGGTTAGCATCGGTTGGTGCGTCACTTCTCCCTGGTTGGAGTCCGAGAGATAGCTCGAAAGGTTATCAAATATGGCCAAGAATCGTAATCAATGGCAAAAGTGTTGAGATTTCCTTCCTTCTTCCCTTCCTGATGACAGTTAACGAATACTGTTTGAACTTGTTAAGTATGTGTTTTCCTTCCAGATGAATTTCCTTATCCATTCTCTACTTATATTTTTACTTTGAATCCATGTTGTTTTATTATTATAGTGTGGCGCATCGTCTTGGTGCCATTTTGTACCAAGCTTTTCTGAGTTTAAATAAATAAAATAATTAATCTTGACACTAGTTCGTCATTGCTTGAAGTTTCAATCCATTAGTATCTTTCTGAGCTGCCAGCTAGTTACCTTCACAAAGCTGGTCTCTAGTTTGTTGAACAATGCAGCTATAATGCTAGTAGGTGAGATATTCAAGTGTGTCAGTTACAACGCTAGCACCCGGACGCCATAGTTTCACTTGACTGCCGCTCTCTGTTACTCAAACCATGGACTTTACATGAGTGCATATAGAACTGCTGCTCCTTCTGGAGCACTTGAATAGATTCAGACAAAACTCTGATATTACTTTTTGTCATATAATTCCGTGGTTATCGTAAATGTCGGAGTAAACAGATGTTGTGAAGTTTATAAACATCCTGAAAGCCTTGAACAAAAATGGCTCAAGTAGAGAGTGAGATCATACAACTAGCTGTCACCTCTGTTCTCAAGCGATAATGGGGTCAAACAGGATGGCCGAATCTGATTATTTCCTCCTAACTTTGCTACAGATGACATTGTGGAAAAACCTCTGAAAGATGTGTGTGCTAGTCTAGATCTGCTACCTGGAGACTTTTTGAACTTTCTAGGTGTACAGAAGATATCGCTTTACTGTTCAATAACCCGAAAGCTACACGAATCGTAATTATTCATATGGTGTCCATGAAATGTATCCATTAATATATATATATATATATGTTGGTCTCTCTTTCTGTTTGCTCGCTTAGTCTGTGACCATTTCACTTGTATGAACTTGTCTCCTTTAACAATGTATATTCTCCTTATATTATATTATATATAATATGAGTGTTTGTTGACAGTCCGTTGCTTGGTGACATCCATATATGGTGGTTGTTGACATGTCTGCTATACTTCGCTATGTATATATGGGTCGATACTTCATTATAATTAGCCATTCATGTTAAGACTGTCTAGTGATTTGTTAACACACTTTGTCTGGAACATTCATATATATTTCGCATTCACAATTTGTGCGACTGACTTACTTACTCTTACTTACTTTGGTGTGATACCACTTATTGCATTCTCCTTGTGTTTGGAATATAGAAGTATCATCGCAAACCTAGTGGTCTTCTGATTTCCGCCTTCTTGCGTCAGGACTATTAAATTCTCGACCAGTCCATAACAATAATTTAGCGACGAGTACATAACAGTCCATAAGTATGGTCTGTGAGTTGTTCTATCAAGAGCTAAGTACTGGTGCACTCAACCTTGCAAGTAAACTACTAGATGTAGTCGATGAATTTCTGTATCTAGGCAACTGTATAAATGCTAGCATAGGTGAAATTTATAATTATCATGGAATCAACCTGTATCACCTGTGGCTCTGTCAAAGGTCGTGTATTAAATGCTTTGGTAAGTGACCTTACTATACGCCCATGAAGCCTAGGTCTTGCTTGCTGAGGATTTTCAGTGACTCTGTAAAATCTCTTGCATCCATTGTCAGCATCATACAAGTAATTCTTAAGCTCAATGGCCTATAATTAGAAATTCTGGAGATCATATTTCAATAAGCGAAGTCAAAATGGGACACTGAGTGCTACTAATGTCATCCGAATGAGACCATTGTTTAGTACTTTTGGAACTAAGTAGAGCAAACAGAAGGCTGATTAGTCTATGTCGTGGCACCATAGAATTAAGAATATTAGGATTAGGTTAGTATCACGTAAAGTAGTACAAGTGATGTTTGAGAGATCAACCGAATCACAAGACTCGAGATATTAACAAATATAACTGAGATACAAAAGCAATGTTAAATATGCTATAATTTCCTCCTTTATTCTCTTTCTGAAAGATACGCAAAGTAATGAACACTCTTTCACATGCTCTTGGTAAGTATGCTTAATTGTTTTCAATGTGCTGCTATTTTTCTTTTCAATTAGATCTTCAGGCTTCACTCTAATTTACATAGATTTATATATAAAAATTTTAACCAATGATGGTGATTTTGTGGATCAAATAATAATAATAATGTGGTAAATGTTTTGAAAGTAGCTAATAATGATGTTTGTAATGATAGCAAAATATTGATAGTAAGGCTTATGCAGGTGGAGATAAGAGGAATAACAAAGGTAGTAATATGTGTATATGTAGACAATTCAATAAATAAATTAGATCAAATCTTAAAAGTTACGTAATACTAAAGGTGAAGTGGACAGATAATCAGAGTTTAAATAAATATCATAAAAATACGAAGGAGATGGGAAATAAGAAAGGGTGGGAGAGACAAAGGTAGAACAAACTTCTTTTATACATAAATCTATGTAAATTAGAATAAAGCTTGAAGAAGATCTAATTGAAAACAACATTGTTCGCTTATAAGTCTTATTAAAATGTGAATATTTCAGGATTTTTCTTTTCTTCATATTATTTTACCATTTTTGAGTAGCGTACGTCTTGGCATCTAAACTGTACCAAGATTGTTTCAAATGAAAAAAGTTCAAAATCATCTCGTCATGTATTTTACAGACGTTATGGAAGTAGTATGACTGGTTGCTTCAGTGCAAAGTTACCATTGGGACACAATCAAGGCTAACAATGTCAGATCAAGTGAAAGGTGCATCATTTCTAAGAATCGTATCAAACGAGCAAATGCAAACTGAAAGGTTCATAATAACTGTTGAAACAATAACTATCATTTTTAAATGTTTATCAGGTAGTGAAACGGGGCACTGAAACATACAGAATCAAATGCCAATCCTCAGAAGACGATAAACAATATCCATGCTTCCTCCTACCAAGGACAAAAACAGACACTGTTCACTTAACAGATATATATATATATATATATATATATATATATATAGTATAGTATAGTATAGGTCGCTATGACTGGGTTGGAATCAAACACCGACTAACAATAATAAAAGAAAGAAAAAGCAGTTCAAAACACAGATCACTGAAGAATTCGCCTTTAAGAACACAATGTCATAAAATCAAGTGAATCAAAAAAGGTCACGTTCAATTGGTTGAATAGTCTCGACTTTTTGCAAGACTCATACATCAGTGATTCTATGATGTTCGCCAGCTACGCAAATGGCCCGGGTTCCAATACCGGTCAGCGCACTCCTAAACTTCGCTTAGTTTACTAACCGGTAGTAATCCTGGAAACATGGGGAAGCTCAACGTGAGGTTAGCAATCAAACCCAGTAAAAACAACACCATAGCTACTGAAACTGCAAGTTTGATACCCTATGCTCCACTAAGAAAGTAAGGGAATAAACGAAGAAACAACTTGAAGGGATTAACTACTAATCACTCTGTCCGAAAGTTTTGGACTCGAACTTACATGAGGTTGAGTCCAAATTTCGAAAAGTTTTTCTTAGAACTACATCAATGAGAAAAAGTCTACGGTAAGTCTTACATAGAAAGACGAAGTATTATAAAAACCTGGTAAATTATTGAAACATGAATTATCGCAAGAATAAAAAAACGCACCTACTTGCCAAACACAATCCAAAAAGAGAATAAACACTGGACTTTCATCTCTGGGTGGTTCAAGGCAGAAAGCTGAGTTCCGGCAACGATCTGCAAATGGGTGACCTGAATTTATCCAAGTATGGTCGATCAGTGTTTGAAATCTACCATCCATTATGCAGAAGATTATGCAACGAAAAAAAGACAACAAAAAACGATCACCATACATAGAAGTACTTGTTACAATCAAAGATGTTGTCGGTTAGTATAGAAAAATTACGTTGTTTAGATGGAGCTATGACGTGAAATCAGTAGAACAAGTTGCCAAAGTCAGAAAACACTGGACAGTTTATTTATCCTGTTTTAATAGTCCTCCCAAATAAGATAACCCACTATCACATGTGAAATGAAACCTACTGTCAAAAAATGACATCCAGTGACAAGTCTCATGATAAAAATATCAGAGAATGAAGATTTACACAATAAAGATAAAAATGATGAACTGGTGTAGAAGGTGGTTTTCTCTCCGAAGAAAATCACTCGCTAGAGTTAGACAATCATATTTATAAGGATTATAAATACATAACATTCCAATACTCAACAAGGTGTTAAAACTGAATTTTTAACAATTGGTCAAATAAGAGATCAAAACCGAGTGAAATGAAAGAGATGATAATAAGTCTCCATATTTAAAGAAGACAATTAAAAGAACAAAAAATCCGAGGTAAAATGAAAAATCCAAGTGACATTGTGAAGATGTCAATGACTGACGACGTAGAGCTTTGCAGAAAAGTACATCAGTTCAGTTCTATATATTTCAAAGTAGCACATAAACAGTAATGAACACAAACACAAAGTGTAATACTATGTTAGACAAAAACAACTTTCAAGGAGGAACAATAAATAAATCAAGAGTAGTGATGTTCCAAATCTGAATGATAAGAAATGAATACATATGCGATCTCATAAAGAATTGCTAAACATGTCACTAGTAATTTCCAAGCACTGATTCTTGAAATACCAAGGACCACAGTCAAAAATTTCACTTTTTCAACCACCTCAGAGTAAAGGCTTGATTCGATTTGACCTTCTAACTCTTTTACCGATGAATTCTACTTCAACTGACATCTCTAGTTAAGGGAAGTAGTACATGGATAGGTATTACATATGCTTCAGTCACTTCAGTTGATGAAGACTCATTAAGTTATTGAGTGATTTGCTTTTCTTAACTAAAACCACATTTAATTCATACTTCATATACCCATGTAAGACCGCAAAATGAAGCGACTGAATAAATATGCCTTGTAATGTTTATGAATCCAGTTTCAGAGACCAAGTGGAGACTAGCTGATTGGTTTGAGCATCAGACTTTCGGCCAATGGTTCCTGAGTTCGAACTCCCCGACCCCAAAAACTCCAGCCTAGACCACTGGGTAGTATCGTCAATTCCAATACAATAAATGTGACTAGTAGCCTGGAAGATGAAAAACTTGTTTCATGTGGCTGTGTTTAACGACCATTCCTCAGAGACATGTGTTGAGATAGGGCTTCACTTTTGTAACGCAAATCATTAAAATTATAAATATTTATTTCTCGATACGAATTTAAAACAAGCAACAAAGGTTAATAAAGTAGTACTTAATGAATTCACCAGATTTCTGGTTATATATACTATTAGAAATACATTGGGAGATACAATACTGATAAGCAAATAAACTACATGGAATTAATCATGCAAAACGAAGATGCTAATGTTTTTTAGGTCATGTTCAAACAGATAAGGGGAAGGTAGTATGAGAAATTAGACTTAAGGTAAAATGTATTACGGCTCGACTAAATGACTTAAATAAATCATTCAACAGAGAAACAAATTAAATGTACCAAGAATTGCGAACTGAGTAATATTAATATTAGAATTAAAAAGTGGTATGCTCAGTCTGCTTGTCTTTCTTGTTTGGTGTCAGCTAATTACACCATGACGGTAGCAACTTCCCCTCTCACTGACTTTACCTGCATCTTAATTCGTCCAGAAAAATCGGTTTAGTCACCAGAGCCAGTAAATTAATGCATCTAAAACATCGGAGACCTATAGCCTAGCAGTCATACTAGGTAGTTGTGAAGAAGTGTATAAACGCATAGTACTGCAAAATATCAACATCACTGACTAATGACACTGGATGAAAGGCAACTAAATCTTGTATTGACAAAAGAGGGATGTTATTGCTGAACAGCCTGGTGTTCACAAGGCAACCCTAACAGATTTCGGTCCAATCCCTTCCGAAATCATGAGTCCTACGCCAAGACATTGTGTCAATTTGAGAAGGATGTCGGTGGCACCTATGGAGCTCCGTGCCAGCGAACCGACAACGGTGACCGTCTCCTACAGTTCTGCTCTGATAATCATTTGTTTCTTGTAAGCACTAACTTAAAACACAAGGAGAGACACTGTTTGACTTGGAGACCCCCTTCATCAAACCAACGCTGGACACAAATAGACCACATAGCAATAAGCTATCGTTGGCGTGGGTCGGTAGGAGATTGTCGCTCCTTCTGGAACACGTGCGTAGATACCGACCATGCACTGGTCCGCGCTCGGGTGTGCTTACGACTGAACGGACGTAGGAAACAGCTGGCGGTAAAACCATCACGTCCCCAGCTCGATCAGGAAACTAAATCCGTATTTGAGGAAGAACTAGCTAAACACATATCTGTGTTCGACAGCTGTGCTCACCCTGAAGAAGCTTGGAAAAATATCCAGGCAGCCATAGATACAGCTGTAAAAGCTGTGAATAAGGTAAACCCAAAGGTGAGTAAAAACCACTGGATCTCCACCGCCTCATCCGAACTGATAGATGCTAGAAGACTTATTCCGGCGAGCTCCGAATTCAATGAGGAGCGAAAGCTGCACAAGAGGAAACTTACGAAAAGTCTCCGCAAGGACCGTGAACAGTGGTGGGCGACAAAAGCCAAAGAGATGGAGAAAGCTTCGAGGATAGGCAACACCAGGCAACTCTTTGGACTCATCAGGGAAACGGGTGGGAGAAGACAAATCATTAGTGAGACAATCTCGGAAAAAAATGGCACTATAATTAGCTCACAGGATAGACGACTGGATCGTTGGAAAGAGCATTATGAGGAGCAGTTTAATTTGCCCACAGCCACGCTCAACCTTCCGAGCATCCAACACCTCCCTGAATGGGATATAGACACAGGTCCTCCGTCACTAACTGAGGTTACTAAAGCTGTCACCAATCTGAAACTAGGCAAAGCAGCGGGACCTGATGGAATGACTCCAGAGGTATTTAAGTACGGTGGAGACAGCTTACTGTCCGGATTAACTGAGGTACTAGGCAGCGTCTGGGAATCAGAAGAAGTCCCATCGGGTTGGTGTAAGTCACTGATTATCCCCATATACAAGAAGGGAGACAAGTCTTCCTGTGATAATCACAGAGGGATTAGCTTGACTAATATAGTATCTAAAGTCTTAGGCTCAATAATCATGCGTAGACTGAGTGGTGCTCGGGAAGCACAAACACGAGAGAGCCAGGCAGGCTTTAGACCAGGAAGAGGGTGTATTGATCATATCTTCACCCTCCGACAGATTCTAGAACATAGGCATTCCTACCGGCGTCCAACAGTCATTATATTTCTTGACCTAAAGGCAGCATTCGACTCTGTCGATCGGGAAGTTCTCTGGAGATGCTTGGCTGTAAAGGGAATTCCAAGAAAATATATTGCACTGATTAAGGCACTCTACTCGTACTCATACAGCCAGGTGAGGGCTTACGGCGAGCTGTCATCTGAACTGATGACGACCAGTGGTGTCCGTCAAGGATGCCCATTATCTCCTTTTCTATTCAACTTCATCATAGATGTGTTAATGGACTTAACCCTAGGTGACTTCAGCGACTCAGGGATTGACTTGCTACCGGGGAATAATCTCGTTGACTTGGAATATGCAGACGATATAGTCCTTCTAGGCGAAGACGCTGACGAAATGCAGAGTCTTCTAAACACCTTGAGCCGCAATCTACGAATGTTTGGCATGCGATTCGCTCCCGCCAAATGCAAGATGATGTTACAGGACTGGACTACATCGACGCCTAGTTTAAAAATAGGAAGTGAAGTGGTAGAGCACGTTGACCGCTTCACTTATTTGGGAAGTACCATCAGCCCCAACGGGCTGATCTCTGACGAAATCTCAGCACGAATACAAGGGGCTCGTTTCGCATTTGTTAGTTTACGCCGACTCTGGCGTAGACGAGATGTTCGACTATCGACCAAAGGGCGGGTGTACTGCTCATCAGTCCGCTCCGTCCTCCTTTATGGTTGTGAGACCTGGCCACTGAGAGTGGAAGACATGAAAAGACTAGCTGTCTTTGATCATAGGTGCCTGCGTTCTATTTCCCGTGTAAAGTGGCATAATAAGGTGAGCAACATGGAGGTTAGGCGTAGAGTTCTAGGTAAACAGGGGAAATCAATCGACGAAGTCGTGAAGCTACAAAGACTGAGATGGTTAGGACATGTGTTACGTATGCCAAGCCATCGCCTCCCTCGACGAGCAATGTTAGCGGATATAGGGTCAGGCTGGAAAAAAGCTAGCGGCGGTCAAACAAAAACTTGGCATCAGTCAATGAAATCCACAACAGTTGGTCTAAGCCACGTAGGAAGGTGTAGACTTCCAGGCTGGGGTCCTCGGGACGGTAAAAATCTATGGTTGGAAACAATTGGTGACATGGCTCAAAATCGTTCTCAGTGGCGCAGATGCATCCACTCCCTGTGACTTATGATCTCCAATGAAACTGTTTTGTATTTCTTTATTACTCCTTTGTCTCACACCTCTGCTCACTGTTTCTATTATGCTTTTCTTGTACTTTCTTCTCTTGCTTCGCGTGCTACACGGAATGTGGCGACTTGAACTTCCGCACATTTGTGCAAAGTTCTATGTCGAAAACAGACAGACAGACAGACGCCAAGACAAAACAGCTGATCAGTGGTGCTCGGCTTTCAATGGTCATTTGACTGATGTCGTGATGAAACTTGTCTTGACTTTAAACCTTGTTGCATCAAAATTTCTCTTACTAAAACAAAACTGTCTCCCAACACTTCTAGATTAAGAAATAACTTTTACAGTTAGGCACGAATTTTTTTTTCGTTTTTGGAAAAAATGATATGAATGTACAATAAAACGCCACGACAGCAGGATACGAACAACGGAAGGGGAAAAATGAAAAGTAATTTCAGTATAAACTGCTTACCCTTGTATAGTTCTAACCTCAGGACTAAGAATAATTTGAATTAAACCAGCAACAAGAAGTGCGCGATCCGTTCCCTTTCTACTCTGGACTAAAACATAAGATCCACGTAATTTTGCCTCTTCAATAATAGGGCTTTTGGTTTGTTTTCTTTGTCTCTCCGCCAACAAACATTGTTCTTGTTGTAATTGTTGTTGAGCAAATGCATCTAAAGCGTCCAGCGCTGTTGCTCCAGCGACTGCAGCTGCTAGTGCTTCACGTACTAATGATAACCAGGCTGAAAATCTTTTGGATTTTTTCACAGCATTAGTATTTATATTCGACTCATTCGGTGAATTAGACGACTGAATATCTAATGAAGTTAAATTTAAAGCTAAACTACTCCTCCTTGTAGGCGTATTCATCGATTCTTTAATATCAGCGGTAAACGGGTTAGCTGGACTATCATATACTGATGCTGAGATATTATTACTGATATTGTTAAGTAATCCTAGTGAACTTATGGGATTAAGAGCTGCATTAGATAACATTCCAAATGAATCACTGATTCCTGATTGAATAGCACTAAATGTTGTAGTTGTAGAACGCGTTAAACGTCCAGACATTGTACATGCTGAAAAGTAAATACAGACAGTGATTATAGATCTATACAGAAGAGACGAAACAGCTGTAAATCACAAAATATGTCCTTAAACTTACTAAATGATATTTATCTGACGTCTTCCTCTCTTTAACTATAGCAAACAGTCAACAGATCAGTATACGAAAATCCTCTACACCTTGTTTTATCACATTTTTGGACAGAATTTCTAATACACATCTCGCATACTTTGGAAGAATAAAAGTAGAGCCAATCAGAATTCCTTATTTATATTTAAATGACTCGGTTTTCAAGAGGTACTTCTCGTCATAAATGTGTTATGTACTCGTCGCTAAGTTATTATTATGGACTGGTCGAGAAAATTAATAGTCCTGACGCGAGAAGGCGGAAATCAGAAGACCACTAGGTTTGCGATGATACTTCTATTGTCCAAACACAAGGAGACGAAATAAAATGGTCTCACACCAAAGTGGTAAGTAAGTAAAGTAGTTCACACAAATTGTGAATGCGAAATATACATGAATGTTCCAGACAAATCATTAGACAGTCTTAACATGAATGGCTAATTATAATGAAGTATCGATCCATATATACATAGCGAAATATAACAGACATGTCAACAACCACCATATATGGATATATGTCACCAAGCAACAGACTGTCAACAACACTCATATTATATATAATATAATATAAGGAGAATACACATTATTAAAGGAGACAAGTTCACACAAGTGAAATGGTCACAGACTAAGCGAGCAAACAGAAAGAGAGACCAACATACACACACACACATAAATATATATATGTGGATACATATCAAAATGACTAGAACTTAGTCAATCACTGAAAACTAAGCAGAGTAAGACAGTAGCTGTGCTCAAACTCTGAAATCTTCTGTGGTAAGCAAATATGACAATAGAGAAGAGCAAGTTTATGACATGTATATCATATAATGAGCTCATTACTTTTCATTCTCTGAAATGCAAAACATCTGCACTTCCTGAAGAAAATAACCTTGGCGTATTAAAACTATTAACCGGCATTCGTGCCCTCTACTATCATCAATTATTCTATCTACCATAACTAATAACTTCAATTACTCGTGTGACTAAATATAAAATTCCCCATCAATGTTGCCAGAAAAAGTCTTTTATCCCTTGATTAGCCTAACTAGCAAAGTATAGAAATGCATTTAACCACATCTTTCACGAAACCAATTACTCTGAAAACAAATCTATCTCATGTCAGTTCTAGTTTTCGTTGAGATGTTACTCAACTCAGCAATCAGTCACACGCAAGTTCACATGTGTAATATAACAGCTGCTGAAATGACAGCACAACCTAATTGGCCAAACTTCAGTAGATGGAGGTAGGTTCAAACTCTTGACTCCTAGCTTGAGAGTTGACAGTCTAAAAAGTCAATCGTTAACAAATTAGAACTCAACAATGCAACTCCATCTGCGACTAAGATAAATTTGATAAGATGACTACACTACAAACCCCAGAAATATATTCACGGATTAACTATCTTACCACTAATGAATTTTTTGAAGGTATTATTTAAATTGGCAGTGGATTCCACAGGTCGACAAACTCGTCGCCATTGTGGATAGTATTGTTCGAATTCAACAAGGCCACCTGTAGATCAGAGAAAACAGAAGAATTTTTATCAGTTAAGTTGGAAAACCATACAGGGTAAATGAAATAAAATCAATAAAGGTGAAGTAAACAACTCATTCACCCTAAATTTACAAACATTATCTCATAATAAGTTATGTTGATTAACAGTAACAATTACGAGCTTAGCGATAATTTTCAATAACAAACTGATGAAAATGGAGTTCAATCAATGTAATTTCAAACCATTAATGCGCAAACACAACCTTCACTTTTCACAATGGATATGCCTTACTACTAAATGTCAATTTCCTTGCAATTATTTTTACATAATGTTGCACCGACGTCATAAACCACGCTTCACTCAAAAAAGAACAATAGCCTTAAAAAGGCATGTATAACAACTACTACCATGGGAAATTGTGGAATGATTTACAAAAGTGAAGCCAATAATTTCAAACTGTGAAAAATACTACGTGTTAAATAACACTCTAGTCCATGTCTATCATAGTCAGTTAGATATTGGTTACATAGAACAGATACTTCGTGTACAAGACTTATGAGTAACAAGTATTGTGAGGGCTGGAAATATTACAGGTGGGGAGGGATTCGAACCCAATAAGGAACATTATACATACATCTTACTGATAATAAACAAGGTATTAAAAGGTAGTCTAATAACACACCTACACATAGAAATCATGAAATAGTTTGCCAATGCAAAATCATTTAAAATAAACATATTAGTTGAGGTCTAGGATTGGATGAGTTGTACTTCGTCTAAGATTTTAGATATTACTTTAGTGCCCAAGTTTTACACATATATTAATATATTTTAGATATTAATCAACAGGAAGCTAAATATACCAGCGCAAGTCTTTGAAAAATAACGAAGTAATGTTATTTGATATCTTACACAAAATGACTATTCATACACAATCACTAGTTGGAAACTAATATTAAAGAACACTGGTGTTCATTTGTTTCTTGAATGGATAAAAGATTACTAACTTGTCACTTGTGGTTTTTTGGTTTCGCTTTGAGTTCTCAAATCCAGTATAACACCTCTGTACCGGTCTGGTAATACAGATGTAAGTAGTTGTTCATCAAAACGACAACGATTAAACGATGTTGAACTGAAAGGAGATACAGGATTCTTAGAAGACTGACTAATTATCACATTAGTAGATTTAGACTGACTTAAAGCACCTGTCAATGAATTACTATTGGTGGTCATCTGTGTTGCTGATACAAAACCAGGATGAGAAGATAAAAGCGTTCCTGCAGTGTTTTGATTGTTTCCACCAGTAGCCTGTGCAATCATTGGCTCTGCAGCTATTAACAAAGCGGTCTGATAAAGAAATTAAAACCGAGAAAAAACATACTCTTAATGAACGAATTTAGCAATAAAACGGTAGTGAATGTTCTTTAATAGTTATATTCAAATTAGTTTAGCAGTCAGCTAACCATGAATAATATTCTTTATGAATAATTAATCACTGGCCAACTATTTGACGAACAGTAACTTAACCCAAAAGAATTGTGTTATCAGGCTGGATTCCTCACATTACACGTACATAAACATGTATATGATTGCTAAATTGCACTACAGATGTAAAAATAACACACCTAGAATTTAACCCATATATATGCCAGTCGATAACAATCTCAAGGACAGGTATTTCATAAAAAAAGTTGGAAAATATGTACAAAAGTAAGAGGCCTTGTAACAACAAATCGGTTGCAGTAATTGGCATATATATACATATTATTGGTGTTATTACTCTTCCTCGCTAAATCATTCTAAGAGGACAGAAAGTAAGAGAAACAGACAAGATCTACATGGATCGAGTAAATTAGCTACCCAAACAACATAAGACATATTGAGATTCGAAAAAACGACCGTGACATACATAATGCAGTCAGTTATAGCTCTTTCAAGAATTGAAACGTCTTGAGATACCAATGGTTGTTATATTAAAACAACAGCATACACCGCGAACAATGTTAACTGACAACTTTATGGTTTGTTATTTACGATCCATAGAGAAGCTTGGAACAGTTGATTAGAGTAATTTATGCAGGGGAAACAGCGATATAACGATAAAATAAAAGCATTTCGAAGAAACTGTTTATAGGACATTGATTACTGAGCTTCGACAGTATCTAATATTTTGTTTAATTATTACTTTTATTATTTAAGCATACTTAGTACAGAATGGGCACTAAGAAATGTCACACAAAATAATCGAATAGCAGTACGTGGAAAAGAAAAAGGAAAAATATAGCTATGGAACAACAGAATAAAACAGGACGGCATACTTACTAAGCATATTAAAAGGAGAGTTCACTTCTTCATAAAACTTCCAGAGGTAGAAGAAAAAAAGAAACTGCGGCTAGAGAAAGTAATCGGTATAGTAGACTGTTGGCAATGAAAACATCCACGACTTTTACACGTGAAACCTTATTTAAAAAATCGTGATTTTAATAGATACTGTATAAAAAAGACAATTGCAGCGAAGAAAATTTTCTTTTCGACGAAGTCATCATCAACTAGGCTGTACATTCGTGTATTTATACCAAATGGATGGGAAAGTTCTAGAATAATTTCCGGTTAAGGGTCAAATTAATAAAAATTAAAATTAGGAATTAGAATGCCATAATAAACAGGGGATGGATAAAACAAACAAAGTAGCATCATAATAACTAAGAAGATTGACATTGTGCAATTAGGGATTAGAAATGTAGAAATAACAAAATACACAGGATGTTTGGATAAAAACTAATGTGATGGATGTGATGGAATGTCAATGTGGCAGAAAAGAAAGTGGTCTCCCTGGATGTCGTCTCTCTCTCTCTTCACTAACATTCCACTGACAGAAACCGTATGTTTCCAATAGCATCGATGTCGTTATAGCGATCCATTAACTGAAAGAACTGTTACTTCGATGCACCTTCAACGTATACTTTGGTTTCAACAAGGAAATATACAGGCAAGTAGATGGAGTAGCAATGGGTTCTCCTAGCCGACTTCTTTAAGGCTAGCTTAGAGAACAACGCCTTATCACCAACTATCAACGACCTCCATCTCTACAAGAGATACATCGATAATACTTTCATTATTTGTGATGAGAATTGTGATTTAAAAAACCTACTTCAAATCTTCAATAATGCCCACCCAAACATCGACTTTACACTTGAGACTGAATCCGACGGAATGTTCCACTTCCTCGACGTCCATCTGACAAGAAACGCCGACAACTCTCTGAAAAGGTCCATATACAAAAAGCCTACATGGAACGGACAATTCATCAACTTTCAAAGCTTCGTGCCCCTAAGCAGAAAGAGGAACCTGGTATACACTCTTTCCTCGAGGATTCGGAAGATATGCAGCGAGGAAGTGGCTGAAGAACTGCGTAATCTTCGAAAAACCCTGATAGAAAACGGTTTCCCACTCAGGTTCATAGACAAGAATCTCAAATCTAAGAAGATTTCCGAAAAAGTCCATTCCATTCCAAAGAAAATACTTCTGCTTAATCTAGAATTCAAAGGTGATATTGAAGCGGAAATCCTTCGCAAACGCGTCTCCAAATCGCTGAGAAAACCATACTTCGCCGCGAGCCTACGACTGACGTTTTCCTGCAAGAAACTGTTCAGCCAGAATGCGAAAGACAAGCTGTTGCATTGGGCCACTTCAACGTGCATGTACCAGTTGACTTGCTCTTGTGGAGCTGAGTACGTTGGCCATACCATGCGCCGACTTGAAAAACGCGCTTGTGAACACTACCCAGTCTGATTAGTAAAAGGAAACCAAAAGCGTGTATAGAGTTCAGTGACAGAACATCTGGTCAGTTCAGGACATTCAGCGCCTTTCGGAAAATCCTTCAAAGTAATATACAAGATTCAATCAAACCTATCAAAGGGAGTGAAATCAAGACATCTGGGCATAGCCGAGGCGCTAGCTATACAAAAGCTCAAACCCATGCTTTGCATCCAAAAGACATACGTCCAACCCCTATCTCTTCCATAGCCATCATAAACAGGTAATTTTTGTAGTACTGACCACCCCATCGCCTTTCTTATCTAAACTTCCTGTTTATTCATGTTATTTTAAGTTTTTCTCAATCCTTGTTTACACTATCATATTTTCATACCCGAACTTCGTGTTTATTTTGTCATTTTACTATTTCTACACATTTAATCCCTGATTGCATAAACAATTATTCATCACATTAGTTTTTATCCAAACATCCTGTGTATTTTGTTATTTCTACATTTCTAATCCCTAATTGCACAATGTCAATCTTCTTAGTTATTATGATGCTACTTTGTTTGTTTTATCCATCCCCCTGTTTATTATGGCATTCTAATTCCTAATTTTAATTTTTATTAATTTGACCCTTAACCGGAAATTATTCTAGAACTTTCCCATCCATTTGGTATAAATACACGAATGTACAGCCTAGTTGATGATAACTTCGTCGAAAAGAAAATTTTCTTCGCTGCAATTGTCTTCTTAATAACTCCTATGACCCAATGCGTATATTCCGAGATATTGTATTATGATTCATATAAGTAGTGCCAGAGTAATGGGGATGTTGAGTCTCCTGCTCTACCAATTGAGCTAGTTCCAGTATATAGTGCAAAGTTGGAGTGAAGCTCATATTCGAGATCTTTCGAAAACGACGTAAATATAGTTCTTCAGATAACTGGCTGGCAACTGACTCAAAAGTATGTGGATGAAGACACCGCGAGCATATTTTTGTAGGTTGAAAAGTTTACATGCTTCTGTTGCGATGGCTAAATCGCTAAATAGCTAAATGGGAATAAAGTAGCACTAATCTATTCATGGAATTTTTACCGTACCATATCAGTTAGCCATTCTCCAGGTATGCTTTGAGCTAATTTCTGAAGCTAATTTGAGCTGTAGTGAAATTACTTTTATCCGTATGAAGTGAAAAGGATCATAAATAAAGGAACCCCAAGAATCAAAACCGAAAATTGTCTTACGGTTCTGATTTCTCACAATTGGACTAAAAACATGAGCTGAATTTGAAAAAAAAATATATTAGACTACAAAACAGATATTTCGTAAACAACAATGAACTAACTGGTACATACCTGTCTTGGTTTATGATAGTAAAGAAGTACAGGAAAACGACCACCTTGACGGAAACGACTACTCTCTATAAGCATTTGATCATCACATTTAGCAGGTACAAGAAGCATTTTGAAGTAGGAATTGCACAACTACGATAAAAAAGAACGAGACATACTTATTAAATATCATCATAATTAGTCACGAGAGATACTCAATTAGAACTAATACATATCTCATTATGAGACAAATAACTTACACTAACTGCCGAAGCATCCAATACAACTCAGATACTAGTGAGTTACTTCTACTGGACCATGTATGAAGATATTTGCATAAAGATACCCTATCAATCTGTCTGTCTGTTTTCGACATAGAACTTTGCACAAATGTGCGGAAGTTCAAGTCGCCACATTCCGTGTAGCACGCGAAGCAAGAGAAGAAAGTACAAGAAAAGCATAATAGAAACAGTGAGCAGAGGTGTGAGACAAAGGAGTAATAAAGAAATACAAAACAGTTTCATTGGAGATCATAAGTCACAGGGAGTGGATGCATCTGCGCCACTGAGAACGATTTTGAGCGAACGATTTTTACCCTATCAATGCCAAGTAAGGTGCCAAAATTCTACAGCTTAAATTAATACACGCAAATACATACCAACCAAAATTTTGCTTTCCTCCTGTTAATATCATTGTCCTATGACCCTTCATAATTTTTGTAATATAGTAATTACTTTCCCTTCTTGATAACCACGCTTAAGTGTTGAAGTTATTTACGTCAATTCAATTCAGTGAGTAGTATATCTATCTAAAAACATCCGTCTGCCTCTTATAATTATGACGTCATTTAACAAATCCCACGAAGGTAGATTACTGATTTTCCTATGATTTATGTTGAAAATCTACTTGCTAATCACTCACATTGTCCGCATCCGATTCCTGGCCGACGCACTTTATTACTGATATGTCAATAGGTCAATGGGTTAGATAATATGCATCCAAACAATTAACACATTTTATCCTTGACACTTTTGACTTTAATTAAATCAAATTTGTCTTAGTCTCTGGCTTACGCGACCAGTACGAAACTTTCTGAACAACATTGTATCATCACAACATCAACAATGGAATATTGAAACAAGTGAAATTCTACATGAACTGGTTGTTTGATGGTAATCAATGTGGTTATTGATTCTTAAGTTTATGTTAGTAGAAATTCGACAGTCGAATATGCAAAGCTGTCACTCAGCTAAATTACACCACAATTTTTCGCACTATGATACACTTTTATTTTGGATGTTAGATGTTCTAAGCCACGTCACTAGGTGCTAAATCCAGAGACATTGACGCTACACCACACTCGAGGACTAATCGATACACACGAATTGGCCATCATATACTAATGTACTTTTCCAGTTCTCAGCGCATGTTGATCGAAATTCGCCGGCCGGTCCTGCGTTAAATCTTATCCAACCTACATACAAGTTGCAATTCTGAAAATGGGTTAGGGATTGAATTCAGAAATGCAGATAATAGATACATTACAATACGCAAGTATGCAATTTTCTCTGGGAAGATCAAAGTGACCTAGGAATCAAGTGACCTTTCTGTCGGTTCGTCAAATGGATAAAACCAGAAACCTCAACAATTTTAAAAAGATCGCATGTGTCTGCTCTCAAATAAATGTCCTCCAAACCTTGCTAACAAACAAGAAGACATTTGTTTACCTCATAGTTTTTATTCAGATCGCTTATGCGCCAATCTCCAGTACACAAAATTTCTTTAATATTGTTAGGCCAATCTGTAGTTTCTACTTTATATCGGTGGGACGATGAATCCATTTTGTAAAAGAATGGGTAAAGTTGTGACGCATCATCTGAAAAAATTAGAAAATGAAATTGCAACTACGATGAAAAAGATGTGCAATCATCATTAAAATTTTCACACTAAACATAATATACATACTAACCTGTTCATAGTTGGATTTCAACAACAGTTACACTACTAGGTAGTTGGTTACATAAATGAAGAGCTGCCTGAGACATTTACCACTGAATCCCTGCACATTTTCCTCGAAGTCTTACTAGGTCCGACGTTGGAAAACACTAGTTTTAGAATGACAGTAAACACAAACCTGATAGGCCACCGAACAGTTGATTCATTTGCACATAAAATTAGCACAAAATTTATTTTATTGAAAGCGCTTCTTCCTTCATATGAATTTCAATCAATGAAACTTGATGAAGCAAGAAAATGGTTGCATTTACAAAGGCGTATTTGATCCTAGTCAAGCCGAAAAACCAAATATTTACATAGAGGAAGAAATTGTAGTTACCCTGAATCCACAATGGATTTTAGATTACCAGACCGGTGCTTTTGACTGAGCTACGTGACCCATCTGCTAATCAGGCCTTTATATAACTGCACTTAGCAAGGAATTTTAGTCAGTCGTCGCGCGAATGAGTTGTATTTAGCTGAATGTTGAACATTATCGTTGTATAAAGATCACTGAAATAGTTTAGAAATAAACTGCGTATATAAAAGTCACGGAACAACAAGGAGATGCACCATAGAGTTCTATTTTCATAACATTAATTGTGATTACTTTTCACCTTTTATAATTGCCTTATTATTTCTTGATACGAAATCGCACAAAATGGTATAGCCGCAGTTGTAAACATCTTCAATGAATCCCAAATATAGGATATGAAATGGAGTATTCGAATGTGTTGATCGCTTTATTAGTCGACGAAATGGGACCAACCCTAATAAAAATCTTCAAAGTGACACAGCTTAGGGTCTAATTTGCATCCTCCTTGGTGCACATAAAATTGCCAGCTACCTATGGAAGAGCTGTCCAGTATTTCTTTCTCCTGCTCTATGGCTTTTAGAAATGACTGTTAAAACTACAGAATATGAGAAAACAGTTTTTTATCAAGTATAGTTTTGCATTGATATCAGCAAAAAGTTTGAGCACTGTAGATTAGATCAAATAAAGTATAATCATATTTTTGTAGCACAAGTTCGAATACAGTTTTGACTACCGAGGTTAGGATGAGCAAGTAGTATCGTTGGCATTCCACAAACGTATGGGTTTCACAGTCTCATATATCAGTCTGAAAATGGTTATTGACTTAGACTGCAATGTAACCATACATTTTTAGAAAAATAGCTTTCTTATGAAACAAGCAGGTGTGAAAAATAACACTTCAGCTTACGGTGCTGCAGTTTATATATGAGGATACTAACACGACCATATACGACAAGAAGCCATCGTTTTAATAATAAACGAATAGTCCTAGAAATCTCAGTACATACTTTGCGATACTGCAAAATCTTCAGCCCAGTAACTGGTAATTTAATAAATGATTCTGTATGTAAGTGAATAAATGGCAGAAACAGCAGGAGACCGAAGAGGATCTCGCACAAGAATGCAAACAAAATGAAACAGAATAGAGTGAAAAATGAGAAACAATAGTTAAGTGACAATTAGCGGAAATGTTCGTAAATGCAGGGGGAGGAGTGAATGTGCCTGAATCACTGAAAGCCTGGGGACACAATTTACATACGAATACCGAACTTACACTTAAAATCGTGATTAAAAGCTTCATGGGTCTATGCTATCTACACAAAAAGCCGGAATATCCATAAAAGCACTTATACTAGGAATAAAAACAGGAATATACTTACCAACTGAAGACATCATATCCAACGCCTGTTCGAGAGAGCGAGCATCAAAGACACTGTTAACAGTCAACTCATATATACGAAAATCTTTTGTATACAGAGCAACTGTGCATCCTGGGTGTGAATTCGGTGTGAATCGACGGTCAGCAGGAGACTCTAATAGGCGAATACCATCAATGGCTCTATACATAATCTGAAAAATGGTCAAATTGTGACTCAATTAGTGAATTGTGATAAAAGGCTAATTTGTTTCTAAACAACCTTACAAATCGTAAGTTCGCGACTGCAATAATACACTACTAAACGTGTACTTTCGAGTACACCTATGCGCTAAATCACCTTCAAAAGCTAAGAAAATTACAGTTTCAACTAGACAATTTCTCTGTAAATTTTGGCTATAACTTCTACCGATAAAATTCCAAATTCAGTACTCATTTTTGTTATACGATGAAAATCGCATTAGTATCGCAAGAAAACTTATAGAAAAAACTACACTACTGCACAATTTCATCTAGTAACCAATATCTTTGTAGAAAGACTATGTAATATGTATACATGTGCGGCTTCATATAAAGCCACTGAATTCTTGTTGCTCGACTTTCAACATGTCTTTTCAGTGTAAACACCGCACCAATTTGGAAAAGCTACACGAAATTACAATACTTTACTCTGGGTACTCATATATAATCTTACACTAAACTGCCTAAGCTTACAATTATGCTGAATTAAATTTCGCGAACTCAGAACTATCACTGACTTTCTATGAGGAGTAAATTCTGAAATTGCTCGAAAATGACTTGGTTATGTGCACAAACTAGAACTTAATGCTGATTTTCAGCATGAATCGCGCCTATGCTTATTCTAGGCATTTTAAGAATTAGCTCAGTACCTACCGTGTTTGCTAATAAGCAATGTTTCAGCCCTCTTAGCCCAGACTCAGCACTGACTAGTATTACTTCAGAAATTAATTCGGCGCATACTGACAATTTCTGATAGATAAAATATTCATTTACCATAAAAGGGATTATAAAAGCATAAGTTAGAATTAGTTAAGAATTGTTGATAGCTTGGGTGCTAGGTAATCCACATTAAGAGCAGCAACTTACAGAGAACTCATGCTCATGACAGTTAAAAACAACGAAAAACTGCGTGAAGGATAACTTCTTAACAATCAAAGACTGTGTTGGGGTATGCACGCGCACATCCTCAATGATCAGAGGATTCATTTTCCGAATTGACCTTGAAAATTTACTATTCCCACAGTTTCCAATATCCAATATCCAATACCCTGATTACGAGCTAGTATAAACCAGTGATTTCTTTGAGCTCGCTTCTTGATTGTGAGGTAGAGGTTCCAGATCTTCGGTGAGCTTCTGCGTAGTAAGTCCCGACACTCGACTGCTTTAGCTCTGGTAGACTCCAGGAGGAGTGGTGCGGGGATTGGTCGAGATGTGGTTTGTAGTATGCAGTATGTTAGGACTGTATTGCTGCCGTGAATGGAGTTTGACCTAACTCCCCTTGGTCATTCGGTGTAGTCATAAAAGCAGAATAGTAATAATAATAATAATAGGTTGTAGTGTAGATAATATAGGTTGAGATAAGTGGAATAATAAAGGTGACCTAAGGAAAAGATAGAGTGAGAGAAGGCAGAATAGGTCGTGGGGATTTAGTTAGTACGCTTATTCATTGACAGTTTGGTTTCAAATTTTATGAGGATAAGCCATTGAGACACAAACCTTGCATTTCTGCATGATTGTCTAGCTTCCGCTTAAAAATCTCCAGAGATGGCGCTGTAGTCACGGCCGCCGGTAAAGCGTTCCAGAGACGGCAAACACGAAGCGAAAAGAAATGTGATCGCACTCGAGTCTTTGGTCTCTGGTGTGCTATCCTTAGCGGGTTACCTCGTGGAAGCCTATAATCGCTTAATGGCAGGATGCTTTTATTTGGGTGGGCCTGGTCATTTAGGATCTTGTAGACGGTGATGAGGTCTCCCCTGTGCCTACGGTAACTGAGTGTGAAAAGACCTAATTTCTTTAGTCTTTCCTCATATGATTTGTTGCGGAGGCCGATCACCCATTTTGTCGCTCGTCTCTGGACACTTTCTAGAATGTTAGCATCCCTTTTGAGTAGCGGAGGTGCAATGATATTATGCACCTCAAGGTGTGGCCTCACATATGCCTTGTATAGCCTTAAGAACAGTTCGGGAGTGAGAGCTCCCAGCTGCCTGTGCATAAAGTGTAATGTTGCGTAGGCTTTGGCGACGTCCCTCGAGTAATTTCCACTGGTGTCTAGCTTTTCTGTTAGAATAAGACCTAGATCACGCTCTGATGGAACACAACTCAAGTTCTGGCCACCAAGGGTGTAATTTACACTCTGTGACCTGCCGGAATGAAGCTGCACTACTTTGCACTTCTTTAGATTGAAAGGCATTCCGTTAGCCAAAGCCCAATTTCCCAGAGTTTGCAGGTCAGCCTGCAATCTATCTGAGTCTTCCGATGAGTTTATTGCTCTCCAAATCTTTACGTCGTCAGCGTAAAGAAGCGCAGAGCAGTTTAGTTGGGGGGGCAGGTCATTGATAAAAATCAAAAACATCAACGGCCCTAGGATAGAACCCTGAGGAACCCCTGATGCCGAGGTGTGCCAGATGATCGGATGCGGTTGACTTTGGTGCAGAATTCTCTCTCGCCTAAGTAATCTGTCAGCCATGCGAGAAGTGCTCCAGAAACTCCCGCCTTGCCTATTTTGTGAAGGAGCAGACCATGGTGAACTGTGTCGAATGCTTTCGCAAAGTCGAGAAAGATCACGTGGGCTGGTACCTTTTTGTCCCAGGATAGTGTCCAATCGTTCCAGGCTAGTAGAAGATTCGTCACGCAGGATCTTCCCCTCCTGAAACCGTGCTGTGCTTCGTGAAGAAGGTTAGTCCCATCGAAGTATTTTCTCATGTGGTCGTCAATGAGACTTTCCAATATCTTCGATACCACTGGAAGTAGAGCAACTGGTCTGTAACTGGTCACATTCTGCCGGTCACCACCCTTGAAGATAGGGGATAGGATTGCACGTTTCCATTCACATGGAAGTTTCCCTACATCAAGGGAGTGTTGGAACAGATCACTTAGGGGTTGACAGAGACTTTCTGAACACTGCTTCAGGACAGATGGTCTGATGCCATCACAACCTGGAGACTTTCCCGAAGCCAACCTTCCCAATTTTGCAAGTACCATAGCCGGGGTAATTTGAAATGTCCCCAGCAGGTTTTCGTGTGTTGGTTTGCGATGTAATCTGGATGTTCTGTAGGGGTAATATCCTCGTTACTATTTAGTTGCCTGTGAAAGGCTAGGCTGAATGTCTCTGCCATTTCAAGACTAGTAAGAGATTTCCCATCAGAACCCACTAGATTGCATGCTCCCTGGTTGGTCGGTTTTCTTTCGGCCATAAACCTGTATAGGCTTTTGGGGTTCACGAGAAGCTTATTGGCGAGGTCTCCCTGAAATGTCCTTCTATCGCTCCGGACTCGTATGTTACATCGATTCCTGAGTTCAAGGTACACTTCATATTCGGGTTGACTCTTCGATCGTCGCCACGCGAACCAGGCTTTACGCTTTGCCTGCAGAAGGCGTTGTGTCCCTCTTTTCAGCCATGATCGTTGCTTCCTAGCTTTTGGTGAGACTAAAGGAACAGTGTCTGAGACCGCCTGGTGAATGATTTCCTTTACCACTCTCCAGTGTTCTTCTACTGTTAGCTCTGTCCATTTTTTAGGCCAGTTTGCTTCAGACAGAAGTCTTCGCATTTTGGTAAAGTTGGCTTTGTTATAACACAGATAGGGCTGTGTATTGTCCCACTGTAAGCGCTCGCGGAGGACTATGTCGAATACTATGACCGCGTGGTCACTACTACCTATGGGAGTCGTGATCTGAACGTTTTCCACTAGTAGCTGGTCACTAGTGAGCACGTAATCCAGTCTAGAAGACTTCCCATCAGGGCCCCATCTAGTATCCATCTTGACATTTTCAGTGAATCCAGCCTTCCTGATGGTATGCAGCAGATTTCGATCAAATCTATCATGGGCTTTTCCCGACACCAAGTTAAGAGATGGGGCATTGAAGTCACCAGCTATGACAATTTGATCATAACCCATGTCTTGAGTCGCTGAATTGTATTTAGCAGTACCTGGTTGTGGTCTGCTCCACATGAAGGTGATCGATAAATGCTGCCCACTAGATATTTGCAGTACCCAACGGTGAAGTGGCACCATATGGAGTCAGGGAGCTCTGTGAGGGGAGGGTCCGTCGCGTGAACACATCTGAGCTGTTTGTCGACGTATATGGCGACTCCACCTCCTTCTTTCAGGTCCCTATCTCGCCTGACTAGGACCATATCATTTATACTGACTTCGCTGTCTGCCACCGTAGGGGTTAGCCAGGTTTCCGTCAGTATTATGATTTTGGAGTTTAGTTGTGATTGTAGGTGTCTAAGTTCAGCTATTTTGCCTCTTAGCCCTCTCACATTACTATACAGGCAACTGGTAGTCAGTCTCACCACTTCCCCGTATTGGGGGGTAGTTGACTTGATATTGGCTATCGGTTGAGGAGTTATCCTACGAACTAGTTGGCCGATTCCCCAGGAACCGGCCTGTTGGCGTTTTTTTCTTCTAGTTCAGTTGGAGCACTCGGATGACACTGGCTATCATCGTCCGTGCTGCACCGCTGTAGTGTGACTAGGGGTTGAGGATTTTCTTTTACTACGCTTTGTTCTCTCCTTTGAGTGCGAGGCCGGCTCTCGCAGCAGCGAATGTGTTTGCTGACCTTGTCCTTGGTCTCGTACCATCTATGGAGAGCGGTATTCAACTGGTCTTGGGAGCTGAACTTGACAGCTAACAGACGTGGCGAGTTAATTGACATAAGATGAGTGGGTCGAGGCAGTCTATAAATAGAGACAGCCCCTGAACTTCCCAGGGCCATCTGGGATGCTAACCATCTCCATTGTTGTACATCATGACAATGCTTTTCGCAGGCGTTCCCAGTTACCA